GTCTGAGGGGAGAGGGGGGGGAGAGTCTGAGGGGAGAGGGGGGAGAGTCTGAGGAGAGAGAGAGAGAGGGAGGGAGGGAGTCTAAGGAGAGAGAAAGAGAGAGAGAAGGTCTTGGGGAAGAGAGAGAGAGAGAGAGAGAGAGAGAGAGAGAGATCTGAAAGAGAGAGAGAGGGAGTTGCTTTGTAAAAGTCTAGGACAGCACACATAAGATGATATTAGTATTCCTAGGTAGATTTTAATTTTTATATTAGTACAACATGTCAGAAACTGCTCATGATTTTGTAATCACAAAACATGACAATAGACCCTGGGCTTTAGGTGAAATAAGTGCCTTGTTAAGAAATCCACTTAACATAGTTCAGCAATACTGGTATGTTTATATATATGTGAGAATGTAAAGGGGTATAGTAAGAACTATGTAAATTTTAAGCATGAAAGATTACTAGTATGAAAAACTTTTAATCTAAGTTCAGGATAGGGCATTTGTCATCAGTGACATATGTCAATATGCCCCAAAGGTTAGGCTTTAGACATAATCAATTTCTTTCATTCCTGGAAATTCTGCTAGAGAGAGAGAAAAGATAATTTGTCTTAGTTGCACAAATATTGACAGGCTGATATCAGATAGAATAGGATGGCCATTTTTGATCAGCACCTAATTACCGGACCACTCCATTTAATTTATGAAAGGTTTGTAAAGCAGTCACAAAAATACATTGACAGTTGGGCTGTTAGCAGATTAGATTTTTTTATGGCTGTCTTGCTAGAAATTGTGTACTTTATAATTGGGGAGAGGCTAGATTTCAATTTTTTGCTAAAACAATCTTGCTGCAAAGTTTATTGATTCTTTCAGTTGCTGAAGTAATGGTATCATATGTGTTGCTTTTGTGGAAAGCATACTAGTAGGAATGTGTTAGATGAGACAGACTGAAAAGTGAATTATTATTATTTTTCATTTGAGTTCTGTGTTGAGTTATTCTTCTGTTTTGATACAGATACCTTCTGTTAATGAGATTTATCTTCAGTACAAGAATTTATGTATATGGCATTTGGCGCTATTATGGCTTAATTTCAAGTATTCTGATTAGGAGAAAAACTATTCTACTCATTTGCTGGTTGAAAATCCTTCAGCAGAAGTCTGTGAATTTTGATACGCAAAATTGTAATCACATTGAGAGATAATTGAACTAAAAACAAATTATTCAGGATTTGAAATAAACCACCTGATGCTATAATAAGTATTAGAGACGGAGATCAATAGGGCTGGGAGGCCAGCACTGCACTCCTTTGATAAAAATATTGGATAATGACATATTCGCCTGGTGCTATCTGTTGCACGTCAGAGATGCATGAAACTTAATTCTGTCTTGATTGTGTTAGAAGCTGTGGCAGACAGCCGCCTATACAGATAACTTTCAATCTATCACCCTTTCCAATACACATTAATATTATTGCTGTGATAGGCCCTTGTGTGGCAGCCCAGGGTACACAATTTACAGAGAACTGGAAAATATGATAAATCCAAGCAGGAAATAGATAGATGCTGTAATTAGAGACATGGTTGAAATAAAGATAGGGATGCAGACATCCAGTTATATGCATGTTTTATGTAGTAAATATCATCCTGCAGCCTGTCACTGAAGTGGGAAGATGACATATATCAGGCCTTGGATAAAAAGGTAACTGGAATTAATAAGAAATTGAAAAGAAAAAAAATTTTAATGAAAATTCATCTGACAGTGTGTAGTCGTCTTTGCTTATGTGCTCAGTTTCAGAGTGACATCCAGTTGTGATCAAAAACTTTGTTAGGTACAGCTCAATGAACTGTAGAAATTGAACACTTAAAGTGTATAACAAGGAAAAAAATGTTTTATGCTAGATTTGTATATAATATTTACTAAATAGTAGAGAAATAGGTTCTTTTATGTGTTTAGAGATAAATGTGTTTGTCTATCTAGATACAGTGTATCTATATATCTATAATATATTTTTGCACTCAGAAAATTGTTGCCATATATTATGAGTTAAATCTAGACCAAAATGATGCAGGTCAAGTAAATTGGTCTTTAAGGGTGATTTTTTCCGGATTTGTTCTCTATTCTTTAAATTAAGTGTTTGTTTGTTTGTGATTTTGCTGTAACTGATCATTAATGCTTCACATATTTTTACCGCATTTAAATATAAGTTTTAAAAAATGCCTGAATTTCAATACTAACTTCCTGTGACACATTACTAGTATGTTGAACCTAGGCACATTGCACGGTTACATGCCTATACGTCCCCGCACTGATACTCCCCCGCACCGGTACATCCCCACACCAATACTTCCCCGCACCGATACTCCCCCACATCATTGCTTCCCTTCATCGCTACTGAGGGGGAGTATGGGTGTGGGAAGTATCGGAGCGGGGATCTATCGGTGTGGGGTCGTATCGATGCGCATAATACAAAAATTTACTAAGGGGGATTATTGGTGCAGGGACGTATGGATGCAGGGGAGTATCAGTGCGGGGGAGTATCAACATGACCCCCATTGCACATGAACACAGCAAAATAAAGTGCACAACCTACAAAGCAGAAATACAGTGTCATGCAATACATTACTACATGTGTAACATTGATTTTTCAAATGTTATGTAACACAATACCATACAACATTATTAACCACAACAAATCTACAAACTGATATAAATACAAATACATAGCCTTCACCCTTGGTATTTTGACATAAGACAAAACTTTTTGAACTGATTTTTAAGCAGTTAAAGCAGATGTCCGTGACACATCCTTTTTGTATTATGTATTGTTTTGCCTGGAGGTACTGGTCTGTACATTTGACAAGTTTAGCTCAATAGATTAACAGATTTATTTCAGTTCTAAATTAACTAGTAATTGTTACATAACTTTAATTTTCAGGTGGCCAGATATGGTGTGAACTTACCAAACCAGTTGAAGAGAATGAAACATTGATTGGAATATTTCAACCATCTTCTCCATTGTCAGAAGCAGGGGAAGAAGAAGAAGAAGAAGAACTTAGTTCTTTGCAAAAAAATAAAACACTGACGCCTGGTGGAATGTCAGAGGTTGATGAAAGTTCAAATATGTCTACCATAACAGTAAATAGGGAGCTGTCTAGTCCAGACAAAGTGATAAAAGTAAAAATGTCTCCAAAAGCAGCTGCAGGAAAAAATGCTCATCGTAAGTTCTTTCTACTGTGTGTAACAATAGTAAACAAAATAATAAGACATTGATCAGAATATAAACAGGCATAAAATAGTTGCTCTGTAAGTACTTAATTTGCAGCTAAATATTATTTTATGCAAGTATTTTCTTTTCAAAGCACCTATTTCACCCACTTTTTGTACCCTGAGTTACAATGAATGTTGTTTATTTCAGCCTTGATATACGGGTGTGCATTTTGTGGTGTGAGGTTTAGCAGTCCTAGTACACTGGAGGCCCACCAAACCTTCTACTGTACCAAAGTAGCCAGAATACCACTAGCACCTGCTAGGTCACCAGAGCAACACACAGAAGGTAGGGAGGAGTTGAATGTAGACTACCTTTGCCCCATAGTAAAGCACAGGAATCAAATGTTTGTCACGATGTGTGGAATGAGCACTTTAGAAAATAAACAAAGAGGTGAAAAGGACAAGGCCTGTTGGTGTTTGCCATCTAGTTTTTTTGATTTAATTTGCTCCCTGGTGTCTGTAAAAAAGTATATTGGAAATGTTTTGCTAAATGTTGTATTAAAAGTATAAATCCGTTGGACATTGTAAAAATGACATTTATATTAACTATATTGTAAGGGGATTCTCTTTGAACAACTCAATTGCTGTAAACAAATTAACTTTCATTTTTCTTTGGCTATATTTTTGTGCACTTAACACAGTGTCAAATGCACCATGGTTTTTAAGACTGGAATTGCAGAGCTTAATTCAGATAGTTTTTAGTAATAGTTGGAATTGGTATAAAAATCATGCTTTGCTGGATATAAACAACAGCTAGCTAAAACCCTGTAGATAGAATATTTAAAAAAGGCTGATTTTATTCTTATTTCAGGTCTGTCAAGTTTATTGGTGGTAAATTATTTGAGAAAAATAAATCAGAACAATTCACTAAAGGGCATGTTTTACTGTTGGCAGGTTTTTAAAGTGTATTTTTCTAACTTACTCTAAGTGTTAATTATTTATTCTTCCAGATGTGTCAACACTGCCAAATAATCCAAACAAGAGAATGGCAACCTCTCAAGATCTCCTTGAACCCAGTACAAAAATTATCAAGAGAGAAGTTTCATCACCTCTTATGTCAGCACCAACAACACCCACACCCCCTATGATTATTATACCCAGCCAGCCACCCATCAGCAATTTATCACCAAGGTTGTCCAGTCGTGGCAGTTCAGGGTCAAGGTCACCAGCATCAAGGTCGCCCAGTGCAAAGATGTATGAGTGTGGGAAATGCACCTTTAAGGCAGACACTGAGAGTGCAATACAACGCCATATGGTGTTACACGGGTCGCCAGCGCAAGATGGCAGCACCAGTGGTAGCAGTGACAGTGATGGTAAAGCATCCCCAAAAGATAACAGTTTTTGCAAAGAGTGCAATATCCAGTTCACATCGTATGATACATTCCAAGCACACAAGATGTATTACTGTGGTTTAAGACGCATGAAACAAGGAAGTCAGCCATCTCCCACTGGTGCTTCACCTGCACCCCCGACATTAGATATATCCAATCTAATACCAGGTCACCCTCTTCTGTCACCTGGGACAACCATCACCATAGCAACACCCACATCAACTGGAATGTCTCCTCACACAGTGGTGCTTACAGCACCATTGGTGCCTGGGTCTGGTGCTACAGTCATTATGCAGCCTGTGTTTGTACCCAGCTTGCCTGCCATGCAGAACACTGTCCAAGCTCACCAGAATCAGGTGGCTCTCAAGAAAGCTGAAGATGGGTCGGGGGATGAACAGCCATTAGATTTGAGCATAAAAAAAGCAGGTGAAAGCCCTGGTGCTGTGGAAAATGTTGATGTCCTCAATTTGAGCAGGCAATCTAGCAGCAGAAATTTATCAGGTTTATCTACAGCTGATGACCAGCCACAAGATTTGAGCCTTAAAAAATCTTCAGAGTCTTTAAGTGAGGGAAACAAACAGCATACTTCACTGGCAACAACAAGTGGGCATCCTGGATCACCCACAGGAATCCCCTCACCCATACAGCTTAAGGCAGGCATGTGCAAATGTGTGGACTGTAACATCGTTTTTTATAAATTTGAGAATTATGTTGCCCATAAGCAATTTTATTGTTCAGAACGCCATGCCAGAGTGCCCATAGGCCAAATCGTAATGCCAGCTATCCCTGCAAAATCACCAAATAAAAAAAGGATCATCCAGCCAAGTTCAGCATCTAAATCTGAAGACCAGGAAGGTGGCAAAAGTGTTCAGTCAGTTCAGTCCATCAGAAATCACACTTCACCCAGAACCTCAGCAAGACTGTTACAATATCTGTGTGAGCCCTGCAAGATCAGGTTCAGCAGCATGGATACGCTGGATGCACATAAGCAGTTCTACTGCCCATACCGTGAGACTCAGGTCAACCAGGAAGCAACCACCCCAGACCCAGAAGAGCAAACCAGTCCAAAGAGTGCACAAAGTGAGACCAATGATAACCCAGTATTCTGTCGAATCTGTGGCAAGGTTTTTGCTTCAAAGCGTCAGCTTACTGTGCATGCCTGTTTATCTGATCCCTCAACACTTGTAATCCTTCAGTGTCCGTATTGTGATTACATTGGACCTTCTGACAATCGTTTGATTGAACACATGAAAGCACATGAACCGTCAAAAGTATTTAAGTGCACACTGTGTGGTTATCGTGGCAATACTGTGCGAGGCATGCGTATGCATGGGAGAATGCATATTGAAAATGGTGAAGAGTTTACAGATGAAAATATGGCTGAATTTGAAGAACCACCCCAAATTCCAAAGCAACTCCATCATGCCGCACAGGGTCCAATTCATAGAGCTGATATTTCAGAAGAAGAACTCTTACGATTGAAAAATGAGCCATATAAAAGGAGAAAGTCCAGGAAGGCCTATGAGAAGGTTGATGACATTGTTGCACAGCAGAATGTTTTCCCACAGCCAATGAGGAAGCAACCTCCACATGAGTGTGGAATATGTGGGGAAGTTTTTCCTGATACCAGCAAACTTCGCCAACACGTTAGGAGTCATGAAGTTTCAACATACACTTGCAAATCATGTGATTTCAAGACTAATGCCAAGTGTGACCTTGTGCACCATGTCAAAATCACACATGAAGGTCAAAAAGATGAGAATTCTTTTGAAAATGGCCAATTGAATGACAAAGGTAATCATGATGCTGAGCAGTTAGTTATAAAGATAGAACCAGAATTGAGTGGCTGTCTGACTGACTCTCAAGATGGTAGTAGTCTACACAATGGCATGAACATGGGTGAAGATTTACAAAGTCAGGAGAGAGCGCCAACCATGGAAGAAGATGAAGTAGCAGAATCTTCAGGTTCTCCAACTGAAAATAACCATGATTCACTCAGTATTGCCAAAGATTCAGCTGAAAATATAAAAATGGAGACATTAGATGAGGAAGGAGACAATGCTGAAACGTTTGAAAGTAAAAATGTTTCAAACAGTTCTTCCATTTTTAAAGGTAATAATACTGAGATTTTGGAGAAGGAGAAAGGAAAAAAGGATTCTCTACTTTGTCAACTAAATGATACAAATCAAAACCACAAATCCACAGAGGCTTTGATGGACTTGGTAGCATTGAAGAATGATAAAAATAGTCCAAAGTATTGCAAGCAGTGTGACATTACCTTTTTGTATTTAGCCACATTTATTGCTCACAAGAAGTATTACTGTAAGGCCTTGCAGCAGCAACAGAATGGAGAAATTACAAGAGTCTGAAAGCTACTGAACCTGAACATGTCTCAGGCCATGTATTCACATATTTTTGTTTGTATTAATGTTTAAACAGATATTTGTTATGTTGCTTTTAATGTTGAAAACTGGGTACCAAATCTTATTTTTTAACTTTTGCTTAATCATGCATAAGAGCCATAACATCAAAATGTTAATGTCGATGATGTCTGGACACAGACAGTTTAAGTTAATAATGACCTGAAGGTAACAGCTTGGTATAAGACCTTTCTAGTTTTTTATATACAGACACTACTGTATGTGTCTGTTTATATGCTTATCAATGTCTGTCCAAGTCATTTTTGTTGCTATCGCCATCCAACTGCTGAATCATATTTTTGTTTCAAATGACACACCGACTGCCTTTGTTTGTTGAAAAGACTGGACTCTTTTGAATATCAGCAATTTTTTTTGGCATGTGTTATAGTGACATTTGCCCCTTAAGTGCCATATTTTTGTTTTACTTCAAATGAGCTTTTGTGGAAAGGCAGGTTCCTTCGAAAATCAGCATGGCCAGGTTATTTTTACATGTATTATTAATAACATTACAGTTGTAATGAAATTTTATCTCCCAATTTTTGTAAACTGGTGATGTTTCATACAGCTGCCCATTGCTCTTTTAACCCAATATACTGGGCTAGGTGAGGGGTTGTGATGTGTTAAAAGCTGTATTTTGTTTAGGTAAAAGGAAGCATTATGTGGTTTCTTTGAGTATTTGTCTCTCTAAACAGCAATGTGCATTCCTTCTTTAAAGGCACTTTAGCTGAATATTTGTCTGAAAGTTGGGGTTGGTTCTCTCTTATATATACTGTGAAATTTCTGTTATTAGTTAACTCATGGCTTACTTATATATGGTATTGCAAGTGTTCTATGAACTGAAGTGTCCAGGTGAAGATATGCGGACCATGTGTTCCATACAGCTGTGTGTATTATTGTGTACTGATGGTTGGTCAGCAAACCCGTAGAGATTGCAGATAGTGAATTGCATTGCCTTTACCTTTATTAGGACAGACCATCCCTGTTGTTACATTTAAAATATGTTAAAATATTTGAGAATTTAATTGAACTCTTTCACCATTCATCTTATCAGGACATAGCCAATTATTTGAATTTCTTTCTTTTATGTCTGTATATATGCCATCTTCGATGTCTAATTTCTTCACATGACATGTAAATAATTAATTGTAAGTTTTACCTCTTTAAATATATTCTAGCTTCTCAAGTATTTTTAAAAATAAGGTGTGAACTCATGATTAACCAAATTATTTTTCAATAACTGACAAAGAATTGTCTGTTCAATAGCTGGATGTTTAAGGTACTGATAATGTTTTTTTATGAAAAACAATTCTTAATATTTGCCGGCATGCATTTATTTTGTCTGTGCCAAATTACTGCTCTGTTTATACCAATATGTTAAAGTCAAAGATGAAGTTTTTTTTTTTTACAATTTTGTTGCAGTAACAAGTATTCTTGTTGGACTTGTGTAAGTATTTTCATCTTACTGAAAATGGATCACTCTTTAATTTTCTTCATTAGGTCTTTTGTATTGTTTGTAAAACTTGAACGTCCATTCTCAAAGAAAAGAAAAACAGTTATAGAGAGTGAACTGTGCTGTTCGTAACTAAAAGATTAATGACTTGAATTGCATCAAAACAAGTGATTGACTGGAAGTTCACATTTTAACCACTTCAGCCAGACAGTTACAAACTAGATTTGTAAAACCACTGCCTATTTTAATGTGAGTGAATTATATATCAGTGTTTTTGCCACTCTTTTTGCCAATAAGTCCATTTACATTTGTTAGAAAGATGTTTTTATTCTGGGGTACTGAAGATAATTTATGGTTGTTTTTCATAAAACTTTCAGACAAGAGGAATGTATCTGTACTTCACATAATTTGATGATGTGTGTTTGCTGGGCTTGTACAGTTTTTCCATTGACTATCAAGTTTTACTAGATTCTTCTCCTATGTGAAGAAAATATGCAGATACTAAACTCGATGTGCCATTTAAATGTATGATTGGATTGATGTTTATTAAAATTTTATCTATTGACTTTTTAAAGTCGTTTGTCGTATAAAGATGTATAGATAACCTGCTGCAGAGGATCACTGTTGTCATTTTCAAGCTAGCCAATTGTAGAACTTCTCACCAACAGACACTGTGGACATTTAAGACATCTCCTGCATAGCCTATTGCTGTGCCAGGTACGCATGGAGGATGAACACTTTCCCCCGAGTTCAGCTGCTATCTGATTGTTTTCTACATTTATTTCTCTGGCTGAGAAACCCAGAGCACTTATTCAAAGAACACTGCCGAGGGGTATATATTTATAGCACAGAAAGTTGGCAGAAAATATCTGTTTAAATATCATTTTTGGGAAATATGAATTGATACCCTTTATTATTTCTCTAAATTATACTCTTTTTAAATTATATGATGGCATTTGGTGGAGTTTTGAAGCAAAAAAACTAATTTCAAATGCATCTTTAAATCGGCCTTGGCAACAGTGAAATGTAATCTGACCTAGATGGATTTAAAATCTCCCTGGACTTCAATCTTACCTTGGACATCTATTTGCCAGCTTTATTGTTTAGTTCTGTAAACTGTCTGTACATACATATGTCATCTTCGCTGTCCGATTTAAAATATGAATTATAGTAGACGGTTTGGCAGAGACGTAATGCAGGTCAACATCTGCCTTAGCTGGTATCACACTTTGCGGCATTTTGCATGAAAAAGGATATTGTTGTCCCTGCAATCGCCAGATTCTGTCAAAAACTTCTTGGTGCAGTTGACCTATTAAAAGAATTTTTTTTTTGCAAAAGATTCAATTCAATGGTCATAAATAGTTAAAATTCTCTTTTATTGTAATTTTATTATAATTGGTCAAAGAAAGAAGTAATAAATAAAATGATTAAAATAACTGTTAACTAATAATACAACTATCTGGTCCTGATTCTACTAGTAGCTTTCCACAGGATATTGTAGTGTGAATATTTCTAGAGACCAACAAGTTCATGTACTTGTTACATATGCTCTTCTTAAAACATGACAAAATAAGTATTTGAAATTACAGAAACATTTTGAACTAGAGGATCTCAGGGACGAAACTACCACCAGGGAGACGAACCTTAGGCAAGTTAAATGGTAGTTATGGGTGTATCTGTTTTAGTTGTGGAGATGTAAAGTCTGGTAAATATTCGATGTGCATTTCATGTTGAAAAGTAGTAAATAACATTGCCTTAAATAGCGTACAAATCTTAAATCACATTGAATACATGTACCAAGGTCAATATGACCAAATGCACTGTTCAATAAGTATAGATCTATTTCCTTATATAATGCAGAAAAATCATTGTCATGCTTTTAAATAATGCTGTCAGATTAAAAATATACTGGGGTGAATTTGCTAATTTGAACTTCTTGACACTCGTGGTGAATTTTGTTTTCCATTTCAAACAGATCTCTCTCACCTGAAGTGCTATCAACAACTACAATATTCATGTGTCTATATGACAGTCTTGGTGAAGGCATCAATGCAGTAAAAGTTAACAGTTAAGTCATTTTCTTAACCCTCTGTGTTTTGCATATATACTCTTCAATTGTGGTATATGCAATAACTTCCACACCAAGGCCCTGAAAAACCAGGATGAACTAACATTGGTCAATTTTAACCTGAGAAGACTGTTGTCCAACTGCAGCCTGCTTACAACATGGTCTCTGCAACAACAAAAGTGTTTTCTGGCTTGCCTCCTAAATGCCAGCCATTCAGACCATCATCAGGGAGCAGACTACTTCAGTTGTTTGTGTACTTATACCGAGATCAGCAGAAATCTTCAGCTCAAGTTTTAAAAAGAAACATTAACAGGGCTAACTCAGTTTGATTTACTGTAACAGCTGAGAACCAGCCAAAGCTATGATGAATCTGCAAATATTGTTCACAATTTCAAAATTCATTCACTGCAAGCACATCTAGACAAAATATAACAATGCAGTAACCATTTCACCATAAAATCATTATAGCTGCAGTTCTGTTGAAAACACTATCAGTTGTTAGGTACAGAAGAGCTGGTATTACAGTCCCTTCTAACCATCCTATGGTCTGTAAAATTTTCAAGTAATACAAAAAGCAAATTAAATAAGTAAATTGCTTGAAAACATTTGGAGAATGAATATGGCAGTAAAGTTGTAACCTATATACCAGAGCTTGTTTTAAAGATAAGAAAAGAGTACACATCAAATATCTTTTTTATTTTATAGATTGATAGCACAGTTAATGTGCCCATCTTTGCAATGGGGGAAATTGTGAACTTTACAGATACTGTATTTTTTTTAGACATAAATTCTTAAAATAAGAATATTCCTACCAAGTGGTAGCAACCAAACTGAAAAGCAGTTCCATTTTCTACAGTAACTGCACCACAATTATTTATCTGAAAGATCAAAAAATTTTTCCCAATGAAAAGATCTGGGTCATTACTGTTGAACCAAATCACTCCTGAAATGCTATTAATCTGGTTTAGATAAGTTTCTGTTTATAACATCACCTATCTATTAATCTAATGAATGACTATTTACTTTTGTTCGTCATTCCACTACTTTTAACCTATATATACAAATACATTCAATCTCAACTAGTTATAATAGACACACTGGCATTTTGGAAAGTTAGAGATGGAGGATGACATAACATGCTGTGACCAGGAAAACCTGATAATAATCATGTCAAGTAGGACAGTAATATAAAATTTCCTATAAACGTGTTCTGTTGCTCTTGTATCAAATGTCAGCATTGAGTTTAATCCTTTTACTAGCACTCTCATTCTGCTGGTGGTTGACATCACACATTCCTATAGATGGTGACAGTACCTGTAACATGGGGGTGCTGGACATCTGACCAAACAGCACCAGTAACAGCGCCACTCCGTACCCTGTGGCACGCTCACCCTGGAATGTCACATAGACAACAACACTTGCAACTTTGTCCTACTTCAAACATTCTAATTTTTTTCATTATAAATGTTATTTATTAAGATAAATTTCTTTTTACATTCTATGTCTATATTTTTGAATGACTGGAGCATTAAATTTATAAAAAGCATGAAGCGTCTGACCTGGATCAACACAGGTCTTTGCTTTCTTCTTTGAGAGAATAAACAACAGATCTGAATTTGAGGTCACATGAAATACAACATTATTTAAGGGATTGCTGTAAAGTGTTCAGTTAAGTTCAAATGCACAACCTGATACTTACCACATGCACAGGGAAGGCCATATCAACATGCACCCACACACCCGGGTAGTCAAACCCAATGTGAGAGCCAATAAAGAGACCAGCACAAGACACCTGCGCATTACTGCGGTCCTGCAGGAGAACAAAATGATTTATGCAGAGTTACAAAGGATGTTACATGTAAAATAAATGTGCTCAACAATGTCTGCCAGAGTCTAATATGGTAAAGTCAACCTTTGTGTGCATTCCCAAACTTGAGCATCATGCACCAGATTTGTGATGACCAGACACATAGTCTCTCTTCATTAAAATGCATTCAAAATACACAAGTTGATTTCCTGGCTTTATATGGGTATTATACTAATCAAGAGCACAACTTTAGACCAAACAACCAAATAAAGCTGCCAAATACACTTCTAACAAGAGGTGTTAAAAGTGTAACAGGGCATGTAGAATCTATTCGCTGGCTTTGAAATGCACAGAATCTTGCTAGATGATACAGTAAAAACAACAAAAAATTACAGTGGCATGATATCAACATTTGTTGTAAATGTATGGGCATAGAAAAAATCATTTTAGTAAATTGTTCAGTTTGATGGCATCATTTGTATTGTTTGACTCAGTGCCATACTGAAGTAAACTGCCATAGAGAACTTACAGCCACTGAATTCTTCATGTCAGCCAGAGCACTGGCAAACTCACTGAAGTGCAGCTCAGGGCAGTAAGGCATTGGGTGGAGCAGGTCCCCTGAGCTCTGGCCAGCCTGCACACACATCACCTCCCAGTCTGCACGGTTTGTTATAAATGCTCCATGATACCGACCTAAACAGCAAAATGCAAAGAATTTCAACATCAATGAAATTGCCATAAGTATTCAACAGCAGCAACCAAAAGGAGAGATTTCAACAGTTTATATAGGCTTTAGTGTGGTCCAAGGAAGCACAAGTCAACAGATGGATGATAAAGCAATTTTCAACCTAACAATAAATATTCTAGTTTTCATTTTTGTTTGCATTTTTATGTGCCATGTTGTAGTGAATACTTTCATTTCTTCGATGACATTCAAAAAGTGACCTTTTCTTCTTTATGCAATATGATGTATTTTGCACAGACTGCTCTCTTACCTGTTGCTATGCCTTGTGCACCAGTAAGTGTGGCCATGTCCAGAATGATATCAGCTTTTAGATCTTTCTTGGCATACATCACCTATAATAGAAATACACAAGACCAGACCTTAAAGACTGGGCCATTAAAAGGGGATTTTGTTTTTGTATTTTTGCTGTTCCTACTGGAAACCATTATTTCAACTATAAACATTTCCAATTATAAATCATGAATACCTGATGTTTCCATTTCAGAAACACATGAAACCCTATGTTTATCATTTTATGATCACATGACATTCTTAGTTTTAAATTTCAGGTATACATTTCTGCAGCTTGGAGAGTTGTATTGTAAAGCACCCTTGGAAGACTTTTCTTATACTCAACTATAACAAGGCCATAAAAATCAAGTGGGCTTCCTTCCAGCTCAACTATGAACATTCTCCATTTGGAATTATGAAATACATTCAAGGCAGCTGTGCATTCATGCAAGAACCGAGAACTAAGGTGTCAGAATCTCCTCTGAGCGCAGCCAAGAATTGATTACAGCTTTGGAAACGACTCCCTCGCGCTGATAGTTAATTACGTCGCAGGGTATTCAGGGCACAGACTGACATCACTAGATACCACCAATGGATATTTAGATTTTTCGAATTTAGGTTTTTCATGTGAACGGGATCAATTAGAGATAAAGCAGAGGCCAACCAATGGATCTGGAGATGCCATTGTGGGAATTGTACTATTGAATGGTTGCAAAATGACACCACCAGAAAAGAGCATTTTTAAATTTCTTAAAAGTTGCAACTTACGCCATAGTAAAAAGATTTTATCTGTTAATAAAATTATAATAAACATGAGACCCTTAAAATTAAGAATGACAAATAAAATGAATATGCGTTGAATAACTCCTGACCACTAGTTCATAACTGGTTAAATAATAATAATAATAATAATAATAGGATCAGAGTTGCACTCACCACCATAATGAAGTGTGGAGTTGAACTCTGTGAGTGTAAGTTAGAGGGGTTTTAGATTACAGGTCTTCGTGTTTTTTTCCAACTTACCCCATCCCCCAATACCAGCCTCCCCTCAGCATCTGTGTTGTTGATTTCTACTGTTCTGAAAATATGGTATTAAACACATAAGCTCGACTAATGAGGTAGCAAAATATCAAGTTAAAGTAACTGATGAATATATAAGAAATAAATGCCCATAATGACAGTCAACAATGCTGTTTAAATGGAAAATGTATTTCTAAACAGTGGATACATTAAAACCAAAGTGATTTGGATAAGAGGCACTTCTGTAAAATTTAACCAATACCTTCCTGGATACTTACCTATAATATGAAATAGCAGTTTACATTATCAGTAAATATACTAGAAGGTAATGATTACGCCCTATGTTTACATTGTTATAACTTTTAAAAGAATTAGTTCTTTAACCTGTTTTAATTTATATAGTGGAAACTTGTCTTCGTTTTAGTATTTGGCAATGTTCTTTGCTCTTATCTTTATCATTTAGTAATTCACTTAGTAATTTTATCTGAATGTCCCTTATGTCTATGTATCCATCCAACATCTTTTTGAATTGTCAGTTATTATCAGTTTATTATCATCATCATCATCATTAATAATAATAATAATAATAATAATAATAATAATAATACTATCATCAGGCTGAAGTCCTTACCTTCCTGAGTACATGGTTATAATATCATCTGGCCTGAGAGCGTCTGGTCCTACAGCATTCTCTGCCAGACAGAACACAGCATGCAGATTGTCAGTAAACCCCTGGAACAAACAACATTGTCAGTAAACCCCTGGAACAGATAACACTATTGCAACCTCCATGATGTTTGCAACACTCTGTTCACAATTATCAAATAATTTTACTGATGTAACAAGTGCATGTACAATAGCAGCTGCAGAGGAGTCACTTACTAGATGGTTTTTCAATGAAGCTGTTTCTGATATGAAACATGCATGACTAAGAAGCTTGCGATATTTGTTTGTCCATAGACAGAGAGGTGTCCAGGTATACACCAAGATTTTTTGCATGAGAAGAAGTATTGACCACACTTTTGCCAATCTTGATACTGAGGGTTTCTGCAATGGATTTGTTATGACGCTGTTTGATGACCAAGAATTTTGTTTTGCTGTCATTTATCATAAGTTTGTTCTTTGCCATCCAAGCCCTGAGATCGGAAATACAGCTTTTCATTTACATTAAAGAAATTTCAGCATTCTTGATGTAACTGGGAGTATACAGCTGAGTATCGTCAGCATAAGAGTGAAAGTCCATTCAGTGGAAGTGTGTGGTTTTACAAGGGGTAATGTGTAGATACAAAACTAGAAAGAACCCAGTACACTTCCCTGGGGGACACCATGGACTAACTCCGACAGACTAGATGAGATTTCCTCAAATGACATCAACTGTGTTCTGCCATTGAGACAGGAGAGAAGAAGTTCAAGGGCTTCACCTTTGATCCCAATGATTAATAGAATCAAGCAAATATACTGATTGTAATTCCACTTCTTTACCTGTTTTACAGCAGCATAAAAAGCCCCAAGTATTGCAGCAGCACCACCGCAGTCTCTCTTCATACCACACATGTTCACCTAAGAACAACACATTTTTACATGAGACATACCTATTTTACAAAATTGAAAAATGCATGTGGTGAAAGACTGACCAGAAAAAAAAAATCAATTTCAGAGCGTTATACATTTGAAAAAGTTTTATTTTTTCTTTGCAGATATGTTGCATGGATTACAAAATGAATAACAAGAGTCTGAATATCCTGTAAATACTCAATCTGTGCACCTGCAATCAGTCACCCACAGATAGTGTCATGATCCACAATTTACAAACGCTATTGATAGAGCATGTAGTCTAAAATTTACATTTATAAAAAGCCACACATACACAAATGACACATGAACCTTGTACAGAGTGACACTTAAAGATGCAGCACCTTGTTAGTTTAGTGAGAAGAAATGTAGAAACATTGGGCAAGTACAATTTTTGAGTGTGTGCATGGCTAGTGCTTAACACAGACATCTAGTGAGAAGAGGTAATGATTGAAAATTAATCTTAGACTACTTATCTATGTTGGCAGAGAAGAAACAGGAAGGGGGAATTAGTACTTACCTTTCCTTTAATACAGAGTCCTCCAGTATCATAGACTATCCCCTTACCAACCCAGGCTATAGACTTGGTGGCCCCAGGGGGTGTGTGGCTAAGAACAGCCAGAACAGGGGGATGACTAGCTGCTTTTCCTACATTATAAATACCTGGAAAAGAATAGAAAAATGAAATTATACTGTACAGACAGGTGTGTCCACGAAGTTTGGTACAGAACTTTGGGCATCTGTATTTACAGAACGATGGCATGTATTTGCAGATGCAGTATCATACAGCCTTTTTACTATGTATATGTGTGTATATATTTGATCTGTATATTTGGTTACTGAATACTCAAAAGGATATGCCAGGCAGTTCCCAACAGTACCTCCAAATCCTTGGGTCTGCAAGTCCTCACCCTCTATTACAGTGGGGATAATCTTAAGCTTGGAACCAACTCTGTTGATTTCCTGTAAAACAACATAGCAATCCTAATTATCAAGATGGATGAAAGCTATAAAAACCTATAATCCAGAAAATGTAGCTGGGGGCCAGGGGTCAACCCAAATTAAAATGAACAAGGCAGCAAACTGTCAAATGTACAGAAAAAACAGAAAATAAGAACACAGAAAATGGGTCATTTTGTCAATTTTGATGCAATAGTAAATAATGCTTATAATAGCACTGTCAATCAACACTGAATTTTAATCATGCACAACAGGTAACACGGTCAATAACAGGAGCAGATCCAGAGATATTTTCTGACAGTATTGCAAATTATCTTTGTTGATCCATCCTCCATTTTTGATGGTCTTCCAACAGAAAAAAATAGATACCCGTCAATATAAACTTTAAAATCTGACAGTCATCCGGAAGACCCAGAAGACGACCTCAATCTGCCCCTGCAATAAAATTACAGTTCAGGACCATGAGAGTTCAAATTCATATAACGAAAATCCCAATATTTGAAAAAAGATGACAGTGCATAAAATAATATTACATAATGTTTAAAGACATAAAAACTAATGCAACTGCTTATGTGGAAATAAAAAAAATGTGAAGAGCTTCAGGTGGATGGGAGTTGAAAATGCCAGTGTTTGAAATNTAGTTCAGTTTGATGGCATCATTTGTATTGTTTGACTCAGTGCCATACTGAAGTAAACTGCCATAGAGAACTTACAGCCACTGAATTCTTCATGTCAGCCAGAGCACTGGCAAACTCACTGAAGTGCAGCTCAGGGCAGTAAGGCATTGGGTGGAGCAGGTCCCCTGAGCTCTGGCCAGCCTGCACACACATCACCTCCCAGTCTGCACGGTTTGTTATAAATGCTCCATGATACCGACCTAAACAGCAAAATGCAAAGACATCAACATCAATGAAATTGCCATAAGTATTCAACAGCAGCAACCAAAAGGAGAGATTTCAACAGTTTATATAGGCTTTAGTGTGGTCCAAGGAAGCACAAGTCAACAGATGGATGATAAAGCAATTTTCAACCTAACAATTAATGTTCTAGTTTTCATTTTTGTTTGCATTTTTATGTGCCATGTTGTAGTGAATACTTTTATTTCTTCGATGACATTCAAAAAGTGACCTTTTCTTCTTTATGCAATATGATGTATTTTGCACAGACTGCTCTCTTACCTGTTGCTATGCCTTGTGCACCAGTAAGTGTGGCCATGTCCAGAATGATATCAGCTTTTAGATCTTTTTTGGCATACATCACCTATAATAGAAATACACAAGACCAGACCTTAAAGACTGGGCCATTAAAAGGGGATTTTGTTTTTGTATTTTTGCTGTTCCTACTGGAAACCATTATTTCAACTATAAACATTTCCAATTATAAATCATGAATACCTGATGTTTCCATTTCAGAAACACATGAAACCCTATGTTTATCATCTTATGATCACATGACATTCTTAGTTTTAAATTTCAGGTATGCCTTTCTGCAGCTTGGAGAGTTGTATTGTAAAGCACCCTTGGAAGACTTTTCTTATACTCAACTATAACAAGGCCATAAAAATCAAGTGGGCTTCCTTCCAGCTCAACTATGAACATTCTCCATTTGGAATTATGAAATACATTCAAGGCAGCTGTGCATTCATGCAAGAACCGAGAACTAAGGCGTCAGAATCTCCTCTGAGCGCAGCCAAGAATTGATTACAGCTTTGGAAACGACTCCCTCGCGCTGATAGTTAATTACGTCGCAGGGTATTCAGGGCACAGACTGACATCACTAGATACCACCAATGGATATTTCGATTTTTCGAATTTAGGTTTTTCATGTGAACGGAGCCTAAAGGGATCAATTAGAGATAAAGCAGAGGCCAGCCAATGGACCTGGAGATGCCATTTTGGGAATTGTACTATTGAATGGTTGCAAAATGACACCACCAGAAAAGAGCATTTTTAAATTTCTTAAAAGTTGCAACTTACGCCATAGTAAAAAGATTTTATCTGTTAATAAAATTATAATAAACATGAGACCCTTAAAATTAAGAATGACAAATAAAATGAATATGCGTTGAATAACTCCTGTCCACTAGTTCATAACTGGTTAAATAATAATAATAATAATAATAATAATAGGATCAGAGTTGCACTCACCACCATAATGAAGTGTGGAGTTGAACTCTGTGAGTGTAAGTTACAGGGGTTTTAGATTACAGGTCTTCGCGTTTTTTTCCAACTTACCCCATCCCCCAATACCAGCCTCCCCTCAGCATCTGTGTTGTTGATTTCTACTGTTCTGAAAATATGGTATTAAACACATAAGCTCGACTAATGAGGTAGCAAAATATCAAGTTAAAGTAACTGATGAATATGAAAGAAATAAATGCCCATAATGACAGTCAACAATGCTGTTTAAATGGAAAATGTATTTCTAAACAGTGGATACATTAAAACCAAAGTGATTTGGATAAGAGGCACTTCTGTAAAATTTAACCAATACCTTCCTGGATACTTACCTATAATATGAAATAGCAGTTTACATTATCAGTAAATATACTAGAAGGTAATGATTACGCCCTATGTTTACATTGTTATAACTTTTAAAAGAATTAGTTCTTTAACCTGTTTTAATTTATATAGTGGAAACTTGTCTTCGTTTTAGTATTTGGCAATGTTCTTTGCTCTTATCTTTATCATTTAGTAATTCACTTAGTAATTTTATCTGAATGTCCCTTATGTCTATGTATCCATCCAACATCTTTTTGAATTGGCAGATTTATTATCATCATCATCATCATTAATAATAATAATAATAATATCATCAGGCTGAAGTCCTTACCTTCCTGAGTACATGGTTATAATATCATCTGGCCTGAGAGCGTCTGGTCCTACAGCATTCTCTGCCAGACAGAACACAGCATGCAGATTGTCAGTAAACCCCTGGAACAAACAACATTGTCAGTAAACCCCTGGAACAGATAACACTATTGCAACCTCCATGATGTTTGCAACACTCTGTTCACAATTATCAAATAATTTTACTGATGTAACAAGTGCATGTACAATAGCAGCTGTAGAGGAGTCACTTAATAGATGGTTTTTCAATGAAGCTGTTCCTGATATGAAACATGCATGACTAAGAAGCTTGCGATATTTGTTTGTCCATAGACAGAGAGGTGTCCAGGTATACACCAAGATTTTTTGCATGAGAAGTATTGACCACACTTTTGCCAATCTTGATACTGAGGGTTTCTGCAATGGATTTGTTATGACGCTGTTTGATGACCAAGAATTTTGTCTTGCTGTCATTTATCATAAGTTTGTTCTTTGCCATCCAAGCCCTGAGATCGGAAATACAGCTTTTCATTTACATTAAAGAAATTTCAGCATTCTTGATGTAACTGGGAGTATACAGCTGAGTATCGTCAGCATAAGAGTGAAAGTCAATTCAGTGGAAGTGTGTGGTTTTACAAGGGGTAATGTGTAGATACAAAACTAGAAAGAACCCAGTACACTTCCCTGGGGGACACCATGGACTAACTCCGACAGACTAGATGAGCTTTCCTCAAATGACATCAACTGTGTTCTGCCATTGAGACAGGAGAGAAGAAGTTCAAGGGCTTCACCTTTGATCCCAATGATTAATAGAATCAAGCAAATATACTGATTGTAATTCCACTTCTTTACCTGTTTTACAGCAGCATAAAAAGCCCCAAGTATTGCAGCAGCACCACCGCAGTCTCTCTTCATACCACACATGTTCACCTAAGAACAACACATTTTTACATGAGACATACCTATTTTACAAAATTGAAAAATGCATGTGGTGAAAGACTGACCAGAAAAAAAATCAATTTCAGAGTTATACATTTGAAAAAGTTTTATTTTTTCTTTGCAGATATGTTGCATGGATTACAAAATGAATAACAAGAGTCTGAATATCCTGTAAATACTCAATCTGTGCACCTGCAATCAGTCACCCACAGATAAAGTGTCATGATCCACAATTTACAAACGCTATTGATAGAGCATGTAGTCTAAAATTTACATTTATAAAAAGCCACACATACACAAATGACACATGAACCTTGTACAGAGTGCAGACTTTACGAAAGGCGTCGGACCGTCGGACATGCCTGGCAAATTTCGTCTCGGTCCGATAAAAAATCCTGTATCGTCGGACCGTATGTCCGGCGAGTTTTCAAACCGACTGGGAATGTGTAAATATAAGGAATACGTTGTTGTTTCTTTTCTGGACGATATATTTTACTACATTCGAAAAGAGAGACGGAGTGAAATCTCGGGGAGTTCCCAGCTAATTATACATAATTTATTAACCTCAGTTTCACTCACAAATACTATTTTGTGACTGGCTGAAGTTGGGGGATTCCTGGATGATGTAATGTACAGTCTCGTTTTCGCTTCGTAATACCCCTACACGACAAAATGGCCGCAACACATGTGCTCGTGCTATTTGCTTTTTACAGACTTGATCCTCTGTTTCTTCATTATCAGTCGTACACAGTACTCATGGATAAGCCTTTTGTTTAGAAAATGACGTTGTTGAACTTTAAACACTTCGTTGCTGCAAAGCGTGGCAAAAATGAAAACGAAGTGAGGAAGAGAAACGGAACTTCGGAAGTTTACTAAAATTGGAAAGAAGGTAGGCCCTGGCGGACTTGTGATCTGTAGGAGAGGAAAATAGTGTGTGCCGAGTGTCAGGAGTACTAAAGTTATCATTTTGATCAATAGCAACATAAATGTCACAGCTTTATTACGGGTTCTTAAATTATGGAACATATGTACGTATTTGCATGTACCGTTCACCACGAGTTGGAGAAAGTGCACATGAACTTGATGAAAGCTCACAGTTTGAGTTTCTTTTTATAAAAAAGAAATAAAATGAAGAAGGAACTTAGACTCGGGCTGGACAGTCCCTGTCAAAGCTTCAATTGGATGAAAGAGACTGCCTTATTGTGCTGTTTCAATATGCATATGTTATTGCCAAAAACAAGGTGTGAAATTAACAATAACAGACGTTTTTATGGACATACATTTGATATTACTAGCTACACATTTTTCATACTTGTGTTGTTTTTAGTCCTTGTGTCATTCCACAGCGTCTTTTTCATTAAATAAAAAACAACTTGTTATGCAAGTAATTTTTTGTCTATTTTTTTTTTTTTTTGTTTTTCTTTCTTATTTTACAAATAAATATATATCAAAAAATTAATATTTGAATTAATGTCAGTGATTTAAAACGTTAGAAAATACACATGAAAACATGAATAATGGTTCATATTTCTATTATTTTACTTCGGTCTGACAGATTTTGTTTCGGTCTGACAGAATTTTCAAGCTTGTCAGACCGAATGTCTGACAGGTTTTTTGGCCTTTCGTAAAGTCTGAGAGTGACACTTAAGGATGTAGCACCTTGTTAGTTTAGTGAGAAGAAATGTAGAAACACTGGCAAAGTACAATTTTTGAGTGTGTGCATGGCTAGTGCTTAACACAGACATCTTGTGAGAAGAGGTAATGATTGAAAATTAATCTTAGACTACTTATCTATGTTGGCAGAGAAGAAACAGGAAGGGGGAATTAGTACTTACCTTTCCTTTAATACAGAGTCCTCCAGTATCATAGACTATCCCCTTACCAACCCAGGCTATAGACTTGGTGGCCCCAGGGGGTGTGTGGCTAAGAACAGCCAGAACAGGGGGATGACTAGCTGCTTTTCCTACATTATAAATACCTGGAAAAGAATAGAAAAGTGAAATTATACTGTACAGACAGGTATGTCCACGAAGTTTGGTACAGAACTTTGGGCATCTGTATTTACAGAACGATGGCATGTATTTGCAGATGCAGTATCATACAGCCTTTTTACTATGTATATGTGTGTATATATTTGATCTGTATATTTGGTTACTGAATACTCAAAAGGATATGCCAGGCAGTTCCCAACAGTACCTCCAAATCCTTGGGTCTGCAAGTCCTCACCCTCTATTACAGTGGGGATAATCTTAAGCTTGGAACCAACTCTGTTGATTTCCTGTAAAACAACATAGCAATCCTAATTATCAAGATGGATGAAAGCTATAAAAACCTATAATCCAGAAAATGTAGCTGGGGGCCAGGGGTCAACCCAAATTAAAATGAACAAGGCAGCAAACTGTCAAATGTACAGAAAAAAACAGAAAATAAGAACACAGAAAATGGGTCATTTGGTCAATTTTGATGCAATAATAAATAATGCTTATAATAGCACTGTCAATCAACACTGAATTTTAATCATGCACAACAGGTAACATGGTCAATAACAGGAGCAGATCCAGAGATATTTTCTGACAGTATTGCAAATTATCTTTGTTGATCCATCCTCCATTTTTGATGGTCTTCCAAAAGAAAAGAATAGATACCTGTCAATATAAACTTTAAAATCTGACAGTCATCTGGAAGACCCAGAAGACGACCTCAATCTGCCCCTGCAATAAAATTACAGTTTCAGGACCATGAGAGTTCAAATTCATATAATGCAAATCCCAATATTTGAATAAAGATGACAGTGCATAAAATAATATTACATTATATAACATAATGCTTAACAGCATAATGACCATCAATTTTTAATAATAAAATAAATGCATCATGGATATTCAGAAAATGTGACTAGCAACGGTATTCAAGCCAATGGAAGTTCAAAGACTAAGTCACACCTTAAAAATGTCCATATGTGAAAATTTTAATTCTAACAAAAAACTGTATAATTTCCAAGGAAGTTAACTGATGTAACAGGTTTTCCAACTGAAGATATGTTTTAGTCCTATGCTACATTTCTGTAAGTTTGATAAGAGTAAGTGACTTGGTTTTCCTTTAATGGTCACTATGGAGGCATTGTCTAAAATGGGGTTGCCTTCAATTTTGATGCAATATTACATAATGCTCAACAGCATAATGACCATCAATTTTTAATAATAAAATAAAAGTATCATGGATATTCAGAAAATGTGACATGGAAAGGTATTCAAGGCCATGGAAATTCAGAGTCACCTTCAAAATGCCAAAATGTAAACAAGAGATAACTGTACTGAAATGATTTTCTTTCCACTTTCAACACTTTTTTTTCATATAACAAAAAGATCAATTTACTGTCATTTTTAAATAATGATCAACTAAGAAAATTGTTGACATAGGAAAAAAAATCAATAGAACAATTTTAAATGTCCAATTTGCTCCATTCTGAGATTCTGAACATGGTGAATGATTGTATCTGACAAACTGTAAAGATACGAGTTTATTTCCAATTTTGACACTTTATTACACAATACACAATAACAGGTTTACCATCATTTTTATATAATCAACTAACAATATTGTTAAGATGCAGAAAATGTCAAAAGAACACCATATTTAATTATTTCACAAATGAGATTGTTGACATGCCTAAGAATTAAATCTGAGGAAAAAAACACTTATATACAAAAAAAAAAGGCATAACTTCACCAAAACTGAACTGATCGAACTTATTTTGAACTTAATCTGTATTTCAGTAAGACAGATCACCCCAGTGAATTTCAAGACAACTGGCCAATTGATTTTCCTTTAAATGTGTTATCGGTATTGCATATATGCTGAAAAAAATGAAAAAACAGCATAACTTCCATAAAATTGATCCGATCACACTGATTTTCGAACTTCCCTGCATATTATAAATATTCATCAGTTCTGTAAGTTTCAAGCCAAAAGGTAAAACAGTTTTTCACTTATCGTGTTATTGGTGTTGCACATATGCTGAAAAAAGTGAAAAAACATCATAACTTTCATAAAAATGGCCGATCATGCTGATTTTTGAGCTTGACCTGCATATTATGAATATTCATTAGTTCTGTAAGTTTCAAGCCAAAAGGTAAAATGGATTTTCACTTATTGTGTTATCGGTGAAAGTGCACGACGACGGCGACGACAAACGCAGGTGACGGCTATATGTACAGACACAGATGTGTCTGTAAATCTGGAAGTATGGCATAAACCGGAATGCTTTCGCCCATGTATCAATAGGGTATGCCATCTATCTAATAAGATTTTCTAAGAATAAATTCGAGTCTTCACAGTCAATAAGATTTTCTAAGAATAAATTAGAGTCTTCATAGTCAATAAGATTTTCTAAGAATAGATTAGAGTCTTCACAGTCAATCACATCATTTAAAACTATGTCTACAAATGTTAACAACTGTCCCCTACAATTCACTCCAAAGTTTTTAACAGTTCTGAAAAATGAGTATGTACAAGTATCTGAGACTGAGATAATGCTTCTGAATCAGTGAGTCACTAAATTTAATGAAATTTGTTGAAATGAAATATTGGCAAAAAAGTGTTAGTAAATGTTTGAAATACGTAAAAAATTAACTGAGTAGATCTACACACACTAGCAAAAAGTCTACAAGGTGCAACTTAAAACAAAACATCAGATAAAACATTTCCCAACTTACTGTTAAGAAAGCCGTTGTGTTCATTTCAGCACAGGGCATATCCACTACTTTGGCAGCAAGCCTCACCCCATAGGCTGCATTGGTCAAACATTCCAGTTCACTGTCACAAAGGGGCTGGTCACTCCCTTGACCAACCAGGATAAATTCCACAGTGACCACACGTTTGGTGCCTGTTCCAGATTTTTGAAGGTAGAGGGGGAATGCACGGGCAATGGCACAGCCGGATGCAAAAACATCGCTGTGTTCACAAACAATCTGTAAAGATCAGATGTGGTCTTATTTTTTTTACTCTCCTAGTACAACACAGGGTACAGATACAGCACTCCAAGTAGCCAATTTTGATTTGACAAGTTCTTTGACAAAAGTACTTTCTCTTACCATTTATTAAGGCCTACTTCTCTATTCTTAAAGAACCTTGGCACATTAAAAAATTTCCCACAAGCAGTTTTTTTTTATTCTGTAAATCTTATCTTGTCTAAAACCTTAAAAATGATAAAATCCCCTATCTAAAAGGTTATGTGAACTGTACCCAATGTCATTACTTCCTTTTTAGCCTGTTAAAAGGTCCAAGCCCTGACATCTTGCAACTTTATGCAAAAATTAAAATTGTCTATCCTTCCATGGCACAGAAATACCAACAGTATAATGGTTGATAAAAAACACTTATATACAAACACAACATAACTTCAACAAAAATACATCGGTCAAGCTAATTTTTAAATTCAGTATGTATATAAGGCTTACGAATTGGACCTGCAAGTTTCAAAGCAAAATATGCATCTTATTTGTTTAATGGTGGATAAAGTGCATGACAAGGCCGGGGTAGCGCTAGCAATTTTTTTCCCTTAGCCAAATCACCACTTTTTTTGTCAATTTGTTATCCAAATGGTTATAATTTGACTAAAACAAGCCAAATCAAGCCATTTTTCTTTAGCCAATTTAAGTCAGTTTTAGCATTTGGCTAAATTGGCGAGTGTTAGCGCTACCCCAGCAAGGGCAACAACAACAGACACAGGTACTGGCTCATGTTCAGACACATCTATCTGTACATAAAAATTACTTCTGCAATGTCTTCAAAGGCAATCAATAGGAAAACTCAAAAAAATAATTGAATATTTATAAATATAAGTAAAAGATATACTGAGAAAGATAGGACATCAGAAACAACATTAGAAAACAAATTGGTTAAGTGGAATTGGTAAAATTTTGCCATTGGCACAACATAGAAAGAGGATAAAGAAAGTCTGAGATGAGGGATGTCTGCATGAAAACAGAAAAGAATCTAACCACAAAGTACTCATCCCCTCCACTGGTACATCCTTTGACAATCTTGGTCAGTGAGTGTGCCCGTGATGGGCTGTTGTGGCGGCTGCAGTTGGTGGGTAGTGCTGCCAGTGTGGCACTGGATAGCCACAGGGCGCAGGAGTCGGTGGGGGAGGGGTGCAGGCTGTTCAGAGCTGCATTGTAGGTCTGAAAGATAAAAAGATCAGTTATTATCACTTGACTTATTGTACTACTATAAGACCAAGGAAACTTTACAAGTATTTACCTATTTTTGTTATGACTTACGTACAAGATTCGATGCAGAGCATGTTTCCGTGTGACTTGTGGTTCATGAAATAGGTCACAGTATATAATGTATGTGACTTTTACCATTAAAACAGGTCCAGATGTACATTTACATGTACGTTTAGTGTTACTTAGATGGAAAGCTCATTTCAGTGTTAATCCCTTTAACCCCCAAAGTCAAATCATTTGTCCCTTGGCCCATTTGTGACCTTTCCTGAAAATTTCATCAAATCTGTCCATAATTTTTTTGCAAAATGTTGCAAACAGACAAACAAACAAAGTAACAGGACTGTAAACATAACCCCATTGACAGAGGTAATAATACAATGAAGCTTCTATTCAAACCTGACCTGTAGTTTAGTGCCATAAATCACTCTTGTAAGTCTGAAGATAAAAAGTCTTATGTCCATTGAAGCTATTCTTTTAAAGATGCATACAAAGTCGATTTTTTGCCACAGAAACCAACCAAATGTCAGCATATAGTTTCAAGTAGTATAACTAAGAGAATTACCAAAAGGCATTGTTTAATTTGACCCCAAAATGATGTTTGAACAGATTTTTCTGCTAGCATTCTATGCTGTATGTCAATGGGGCAGAAAAGTAGGTCACGAAAGTAGGTTAAATTTCCGACCAAAAATTTAAAGAAAGGAGCAGCCTAAAGCACTTTTATGGCTGATAGAGTGATCTATTCAGTTTATCCCTTGGCATGTCAAATTTATTTGAGTCGTATAAGAAACTAGTAGAAGTGGTTAACATGTGTTATTGGGAATCCACGCTCCACCGATGCTCGGTTAGTATGTACCTTTAACAATGCAATTTGTTTTTATGTAATTTTCACATGCAGTGATGCTCAGAGTAAATGAAATGGATGACTCCATCTGTGCAACTGATGATGCACGTCTGTTGTAAACATTAATTTCATCCTATTCCCTACCACTTCTTTTAACAGAAGAAAGTGCAATATCTTAGTTATAGTTTACTACTTGGTTGAGACAATCACCATATTGTCACAATACATAGTCACAGAGTAAAAGTTTTGTTCTATGTAATAACAGGTTCTTACAGCTTACCTCTCTATCGACTCTCGGCTCCAATTTGCATTTGATAGTGTCATACTTGACCTGTACCAGGTTGGTCAGCTGACCAATGATGACCACTGGATAATGCTGGGGGTCAGACGGGGTCAGATCAGCAGAGAACTTCACAGTCGCCATGGCCATCAAAGAAACTAAAATTAGAATGGAAATATAGAAGTGTTATTAAACATCTTGAATAATTTGTCATTCATGACTTAAATGTCATCTGGGAAAGCCAATGATGTAGGTCTAAACAATGATTAGTGAGTTTTTGGGACAATATTTTATTTGGCAGGGACAATAACACATAGGAGAGCTTAAATGAACACTGCAAAGCATCAGTTTGAGTTTTATTGAGCTAAAAACATCTAGAGCATAATCTGTACATTGTTTCATGTAACAATTCTCCCAATATATGATTCTACGACCCAAAAGTTTTTTTCTGTAAAATTCTAGAGCAAATCAGTTAGACTGAGGGATTTTCATTGCACTTCATTATAATGAGAGAAGAGAGGCCAATCTTTGGTTCTGCTCATCTAGGTTGCAGTGAATACCTGTGCTATATGACACTGTGCTATGCTATGCTGTGCTATGCTGTGCTATGCTATGCTATGCTAGGTTTTTAGTACTGAAGTTTAGGGGGTATGCTATGCTATGCTATGCTATGCTGTGCTATGATATGTGACAGTGTTGAGGAAGTGTCAAATTCGAGCAACTGTCACCATTTTACAGCTTTTGACAACAATTTCTGACTCTCGATTTGAAAGTGGATACCATTTGGTGGGAGACATTTGTTGATAACAACAGTGTGGCTAAGTGAATGCATGTACTGGCGGTAAGACTAAACTGACACGTTGTTGTTTGACTCTCGGACAAACTACTTAAGACTTCGAAACAGTGTTCAATAGAAATATCCAATATGGCAGCATCCTAAAGAGCTGAAATGAAACATGGTGGCTGTACTTACACAAATGCACATATTTTTATCACTAAATCTGAAATTTGATATGTTATTCATATGGCAAATCTATATTTTCCATCAAATTAAATAAGATGCCCTGTTTTTCAAAAAAAAAAAAAAAGAAAAAAAATTATTCATTCAATTTCATCTGGTGAAAGTATATTTTTCAATAAAGGACTGATCTTTCTTTTAGGGGCTGGGATGCCTTGATGACTTGAAGCATTAATAATTCAGATGTTTTTCTGTAAAAGTTTGACATCTTGTGCATAAATCTAACTTTATATACACTTACAGAAAACATGTGTTTTGTATATCAATAAATGTGGAAAAGAGAATTTATGACAGCATTCAAATTACTTTATGTAATTTGCACTAGCTGTTGTCTGTTGGTGCTATATATAGATAGATTGAAAATCTTCTCTCCCACTTCTGCCACCTACTTCACATGATCATTAATTTACTTGGAAAAATCCTAGAATCAAAATTTGAAATTGTGTACTTATGGCTAGCTCCATTACTTATTGTGTGACAAATTTTAAGTTCCTATATGGCATTATTTAGGAGGTGAAAATCAAGTGGGATTAAACTTTTGACTAATTTTTATAAATTAAGTTGCGTTAAAAAAAATTAGACTTGTTGTAAACAAGGTAGATAAAAAATAACTGTTTATTCACACTTAAATATGAAGCTATCTGTGTGTAAAATTTCCAGTCTCTAGTTAATTTAGAAAAAATCATGTGTGGACCCTACTGGGGTAGCTATACTATTTAATTATGTTGTTTGGTGGGCCCTAGATTTTAGCGCATGCAAGTGGAGCATTGGATACAAGCTGACTCCCAACAGAATCTTAATAACACAAATTGTGGCTGGAAAGACATCATGTTGGGTCATATGATAATCGGTTTTAGTAGTCTGTCCACCAACTACCACATTCACCAACAGAGTGACTCACTTACGACACCAACTTTCTGTTCTTCTGCTCTTCTCGTTCGACGTCTCGTTCTTTCTCGTTTATCACCTTATTTCATGAGCACAATTCCATACATTTGTCATTTTCTGTATTTCTTAAGTAGCTTCTGTTTCTTGAAAAGGCTAGTTGAGCACTGGTCATTTAAGTTTACAACAGAAAACTCCTTTTTGCAACACAATGCATTATGTAATTTGTTCCAGGTGAAGTCGTACAACACGCATGCTCAGTTGAGGCTGTTGTGAAGCGGGTGCCCGGTCAGATAATCATGGCTCGGAGAGAAGGAGGCGTGGATGAAAAAAGCCTTAAAAATTCTCATCCTCTCCACGCTTCGAATTTGTTGAAAGCGCTCAATGATGGCCGATGGAATCCACATCTGTGCGATGGGACAGTTGTCATAAAAGGCAGGAAAATAGCAGTGCAGAAAAACGTTTTGGCTGCAGCCAGTCCGTACTTCAGGTGAGCTGAGGTCACCATGACCAGATGAAAATTTCATTTAATCAGCTGATGTCACTCTTAGGGAGCGACACGTATCTTATCTGCTTATAATAAGTCTTGGCTAAGAAAATACTGATTCATACTGCAACTGATCGTGATCATTGTTTGGACGGCTGTCTTGGACACCAGTGTCCCGAAGTAAAGTTCATGACGGAGCATTTACATCTCATTTAAATATATATAGATTTAGAGTACAGGGGCCTTTAATAACCCGTGTATGAATAGTACCATGTAAAAATGTTTGAGTTTCTTACTTACATGTAGCATAGATTATCATCGTGTTTTAAGAGTTCATTTAAGGGATATTGGGCATATAATTTATGCAGAGAAGTATAATTTTGTTGTTTTGTTATTGTGGAACACGATAAAAGGCAAACTGCTGAGGGTTAGATTTTTATCACACACCTGATAACCTCACACACACACACACACACACACACACACACGTGTGTGTGTGTGTTTGTGTGTGTGTGCGTGTGTGTGTGTGTGTGTGAGGATATCAGGTTTTCATACAAATGGAGGAACAATTTGGCCTTATGGCCAAGAAATATTCCTAAAGGGACTGGAGGTGGTAGAAAATATTTTCAGTTTTATGGTACTCTTAGCACTGGCCAATAGATGTGTCTCAATGCTCATTTGGCATTATCAGAATTGTGAAATGTTTGAAGTCATCTTTAACATATCACTTCTAAAGGCAGCTTTTATAGGCATCTTTTCTCATCATCTCGTCATTTCCATCACACACTCTTTCAATATTACCCAAAATGTTTGTGGAGATAGGGATGAACGTTATAGACAAATTATCGAATACAGTGCTGCACACAACTTTGGGGGTTAAAAACTTTTCCATTTTGGCAGGAAAAGTGCCAGAAAACAGATTTTTCTAGGGTAAACAACAGATTTCCCATATTTACCAAAGTTACTCATTCAAAGTTAGTCATTGTAGTTTTTTAAAGTATGTTCTCTAAAGAGATTTGGTGATAAAGATGGAATTTATTTTATTTTTATGTGTTGTTTACAATGCTTTTTTTTATTGTGGAAACTTGAACCTCATTGAAGTTTTCTCATCCCTTTAATGACATTAGTTTTGACCAACAGACTATCAAAAATCATAATAATAAATATTAAATGTGGACTAGTAACCATTGCAGCAATCTCTGTTCTTTTTTGTATCTAATACTATAAAAGCATAGACAAAGTGATAAATTTTATTTTATTTCTGCATGATCAGTGAAGCTTGTAAACTAATAATTCAGGTCAGTCTTAAAGGGATGACAACCTTTCGTATGAAGTCCATATTTCACAATAAAACAATGTAAACAACTCATAGAAATATTATAAACTCCACTTTACCAACAAAACAGGGGTTTTTGCAATTGTTCTGGAATCTGTGCTTGCCATATCAGACCACATGGACCTTCATAGCTGGCTATACCTCCTCTTAAGAGATTATAAAACAGCCAAACCTTTTAGGGAAAAAAACAGGGACTATTTTTGAATGTTGGAACAGGTTCATTAACCATTGGTTAATATTGAAAAATTGTCATAGAAATGTAATAAACTCCATTTTACCACCACAGTCTGTGCTTGCCATCAAACCACATGGAACTTCATAGATGACTATACCTTTGTTATAAAATAAGAGATTTTTACAAAGAAAAAAAAGTTTTAGAAAAATACCAATGGACAAACTCTGAATATAGGAAAAATGGAATGGATTCATTAACCATAGGTAATTAGAAGTATGGGAAAATCAGTCTGCCCCAGGATTTTTTTTTTTTTTGTTAACAAACAGTCGTTACATGTTTATCTTTTAGAAAAATAAGATTTGGCATTAAAGTCCAGTTCAGAACACCTGTAAAAGAAGCTGTAGTAGACAATATATGCAACTGATTTTCTGAAGCAGAAGCAATACCTTGATGTAGTATAATTATAAATTGTTTGTCCTGGCACTCTATCATGCAAACAATGCAGATACATCGATGAAGCAGTTTGAAAAGCAAAATCATTAAAGCACATCAAGAAGAACTGGCATTACTCTATTTTATCAAATTACTCAGTCGATCAGAGGCAGGGACTTGTATAATTTAATGTCATAAGGTTTTTATCTTCAGATAATTTCCTGTGACCTGGAATCACTTTTGCTGTGGAAGTCATCCCAGGCCATGGTTCTAGACCAGCTTCTGTAAAACACAGAATATTGGCACTGTCAGTATCTTTAGATCTTAATTGACTTCTTATTCACAACATTCCCTCCTGGGATATGTCTACTGCTGAAAAGTGTTACATAATCATGTAGACATCAGAGTTCAGTTTCCTTGTTTGGCAAACACAGATCTTGTAGAACCAGGCTTCACTGAGGTCAGCCTCAGTCAGTCAGTCCCCAGGTTGAAGGGGAAGACAATTTCTTTCCGTGAGCTGAGTTGAACTGTGTCATTGCATCTTTAATAAATTACCCTGAAATAACATTGAGGGAGGTGGAAAGGTATTTGTTTTTGATCAGTAGGGGGAATTAAAAGTGATAAAAAAGACAAGCACAGTCTCGATCAAAGTGAATAGTTTACAGTAGTTAAACAAGGGCAGCTGAATTCTCAGAGTGCTTCATTATCTTATTTCATTCTCAGGGGGAGGCTGAAATGATGCCACTATCTCATCCTCAAGGCACCTGATCTCTATCGAACCTTTTGACATAAAACATAGATAGATTGGACATATGGAAAGAGTTTGATGATGAAATCCTAGATTGACAAATGGAAGAAAGTATTGGATATTTATGGATTTTCCCCAGTACAATTTCTGTGATAAATGAAGGTAGTGATGTCCCATGATGTCCATATGGACATAGCACTACAAATAATCTAGGCTTAACGTGTATTTTTTTATGTATTAGGCAATTAACTGATAGATGATTTTATGAAAATTTTAATTTTACATTTAATAAAGTGCAGGGGTGCACACAAATTTTATGTGTATGTTAAACATATTACGCAATTTATCAATACATTATTATAATTTTACATTAAAAATAAAGTGTATTTTTCCTCAAAGTCTTTGCGCTCTTTGTATGTGTGATTTGAAATACAGGCCTACCCAACTACCAGATCGCATTACACAGTATCATACCCTGAACAAATTTTGAGTGGTGATACAATGCTTTTCAACCCGGCTGAGAATCGTCACTATCACATCACGTACTAGGCAAGAGTGGTGCCGCGTCTGATACTGTGTAATACGATCTGACACACACCTTGAAAACGGGTAGTGTGGTCTCATCTACCGGTGAATTCAGGATCATTCGGTGCCGAGTCTGGTAGTTGGGTAGGCCTGAAATAGCAAACCTTCATCATAGGGAACCTTCAGCATAGTGAACCCTTGGCATACATATATAGCCGACTTCGTCATAGTCTTGCTTGTCTGTATGTGTAGTAAACTCAAGTTGTAAAGGAAAGAGAAGAAATCTCCATTACTGAGAAATAGTGATTAGGAATCTTGTAAAAGATCCCAATTTGTATCATATTTCCTAAGAAATTGCACTCCCACTTTCTCTTGATATCCTGGGTCTGCCATTGCAGGGTTTAGTGGATAATAAATGTGTTTTTTTATGATATTGCAAACTACCTGGCAATCTGAAAATATTTATCTTTCAATCATTTCATTGAGGACAGTTTTCCTGTTATGAAATTAAATACTTAATACATTATTAGCCAGTTTTAATAAATATAAGTTGAGCTCAGATCCTACTGCTAACCCAGAATACTTGTGTGTGTTCTCTCCTAGGGCTGTCTACAGCTACCAGCAGTTGGGGACAGCAGTGGACATCAATGAAATGGATCCAGAAATATTTGAACAGATACTGGACTACATCTACACCTCTGTCATCATGATGGATGAAGAGAACATCCAGGATATCTTACAGGCAGCAGATATTTTGCTGATGGCTGACCTGAAGGATTTGTGCTGTGACTACTTGGAACAGTGTATCTCTGTCCAGAATGTCCTGGGGGTTCAGGAGTTTGCAGAGAGGTTCTCCTGTCCCAGGGTTTACCATGCAGCCACTTTGTTCCTGGATGAACATTTCAGGTAAGGTATGGTGACATTGTCAACCAATTGATTTAATTCCCTCAAGCTCATCATCAGCATCTTATTGTATCTTATCACCACCAGTTTTTAATTTACTTCAAGAAAGGTTTAGTCCTTGTAACCATTTGTATGTTTGTTATTGCAAAATCCCTTGGGGGGATATAAAAGTGTGTTGGTTGGTTGGTTTGTTTGCTTGTTTTGTATGTCTATGTACTCTTTCTGGCGCAGAACACAGAAAGCATAGTTCCAATTTTTTGTGAATCATTGTACGGGGTGCCTGTGAACAAATTTTGGTGATGTTGATTAATTAATTTTAAATTAGTTAATTGAATAATCAATTATGTATAGATTTTGATGAAATTCACTGGATAGGTCACAAATGAGCTAAGAAAGAAGTGATTAGGTTTTGGCGATATTCCATTAATTTATAGTTAAATGTTTAGGATATCTCAGTCCTCACAAATGGCCAATTTCATGCAATTTTCAGGATAGGTCAGAAATGAACAAAGGAAGAAATTGTTTGATTTTTTTTTTTTGGTGATGATTTTTTCCTTTTTTTAAATTTTTTTATTGTTGTACTGATACCCCGATACGACCACCAATTCCGTTCATGATCCATTAATTAATTGANCATTACACAGTATCATACCCTGAACAAATTTTGAGTGGTGATACAATGCTTTTCAACCCGGCTGAGAATCGTCACTATCACATCACGTACTAGGCAAGAGTGGTGCCGCGTCTGATACTGTGTAATACGATCTGACACACACCTTGAAAACGGGTAGTGTGGTCTCATCTACCGGTGAATTCAGGATCATTCGGTGCCGAGTCTGGTAGTTGGGTAGGCCTGAAATAGCAAACCTTCATCATAGGGAACCTTCAGCATAGTGAACCCTTGGCATACATATATAGCCGACTTCGTCATAGTCTTGCTTGTCTGTATGTGTAGTAAACTCAAGTTGTAAAGGAAAGAGAAGAAATCTCCATTACTGAGAAATAGTGATTAGGAATCTTGTAAAAGATCCCAATTTGTATCATATTTCCTAAGAAATTGCACTCCCACTTTCTCTTGATATCCTGGGTCTGCCATTGCAGGGTTTAGTGGATAATAAATGTGTTTTTTTATGATATTGCAAACTACCTGGCAATCTGAAAATATTTATCTTTCAATCATTTCATTGAGGACAGTTTTCCTGTTATGAAATTAAATACTTAATACATTATTAGCCAGTTTTAATAAATACAAGTTGAGCTCAGATCCTACTGCTAACCCAGAATACTTGTGTGTGTTCTCTCCTAGGGCTGTCTACAGCTACCAGCAGTTGGGGACAGCAGTGGACATCAATGAAATGGATCCAGAAATATTTGAACAGATACTGGACTACATCTACACCTCTGTCATCATGATGGATGAAGAGAACATCCAGGATATCTTACAGGCAGCAGATATTTTGCTGATGGCTGACCTGAAGGATTTGTGCTGTGACTACTTGGAACAGTGTATCTCTGTCCAGAATGTCCTGGGGGTTCAGGAGTTTGCAGAGAGGTTCTCCTGTCCCAGGGTTTACCATGCAGCCACTTTGTTCCTGGATGAACATTTCAGGTAAGGTATGGTGACATTGTCAACCAATTGATTTAATTCCCTCAAGCTCATCATCAGCATCTTATTGTATCTTATCACCACCAGTTTTTAATTTACTCCAAGAAAGGTTTAGTCCTTGTAACCATTTGTATGTTTGTTATTGCAAAATCCCTTGGGGGGATATAAAAGTGTGTTGGTTGGTTGGTTTGTTTGCTTGTTTTGTATGTCTATGTACTCTTTCTGGCGCAGAACACAGAAAGCATAGTTCCAATTTTTTGTGAATCATTGTACGGGGTGCCTGTGAACAAATTTTGGTGATATTGATTAATTAATTTTAAATTAGTTAATTGAATAATCAATTATGTATAGATTTTGATGAAATTCACTGGATAGGTCACAAATGAGCTAAGAAAGAAGTGATTAGGTTTTGGCGATATTCCATTAATTTATAGTTAAATGTTTAGGATATCTCAGTCCTCACAAATGGCCAATTTCATGCAATTTTCAGGATAGGTCAGAAATGAACAAAGGAAGAAATTGTTTGATTTTTTTTTTTTGGTGATGATTTTTTCCTTAAAAAAAATTTTTTTTTATTGTTGTACTGATACCCCGATACGACCACCAATTCCGTTCATGATCCATTAATTAATTGATGAATAATTAATTTTGCAGAATGGCAATATAATGGTAATATCTATATTACCATTATATTGCCATTCTGCAAAATTGCCATTCTGCAATAGAATGGTAATATCTATATTTTTCATTGATATGGCTTGAAATTTTCACTGTTACAATTAGTTGTAATACCACTACTGTATTTCTCAATTTTGCCTAATTTTTCTTTTTCTAAATTATTACCTTTGACGTAAATTTTCATGGAGTCCCATTGGTATTCACTGAAGACATAATGCAAAAAAATTTAGAAGGAATAATGGTTTTTCAATTAAAAAATCAATCTAACAAAAAAAAAAATAAAATAAAATAATAATAATAATACAAATATCATTTTTGGTGCAAAGTTTCATCCAAATTTCTGTCATGAAAGTCATCTTCACTTTTTAAAAACAGTTACCGGTAGCATTGAATGAAGAGTATTGAATTTCAGGCTGTCTGCTATGACTGCCCTGCATTAAATTGTCAAATTTTGAGATGATTGGTTAAAAATAATTGAAAATAGAACTATTTAAAATTTACTCAGTTTACAGGGAGGCCTTTTGGGTATTCTGACCAGGAAAGGGTAAAGGAAAAAATGAAATAAAGTACAAATACTTTATGTAATGGTACTCAGATGTTGCTGTAATTATATCATTATTACTATTTATGCTAACCTTAAAATCTTTATCACAAAAGTTGCCGAATGCAAAATCAAAAGGTTATAAATAAACAAGAACACAACATACATGTTGGATCTGATTTATAATGTTGTACAGCATTGGTTATACACTACAATATACAAAACATGACAAACTATTTCACAGCATTAAATTAAGCATATCATTTAATAAGTTTTGCTATAGATTATTGATAGGGAGAACTAACAAAATATTTATTGGCTATCACTCAGTGAGTTAATTTATATGAGGAACTGTAACAGTTGCTTGGGCTAGATACTATGAAAGCGAAGAAGATAACACATAAATGATAGGATGACCAATGACCTTTTACAATAAGTAAAAGCAACACAAAACATCCACAGTTGTTTTTTTTTTTTTAATCAATTTCATACAATTTATGTTATGTTTCCACCACTCCATGGAATACCATAATCACGTCAAAAAGTTTCCTTCCACTCCTTCGACTTTACCTTGATTGGGGAAACAGGCTGCCCCAAATTATCACCTGTAATTTCCTACAAAATTTCATGGAGTCCAAGCTATAATTTTTCAAAGAAATTCATAAGCCCTTCAGCCATCTTAATCAACTCGCAGTTCATTATAGTTAGTCCAAAGGACTGGTGTACTAACAACCACTAACTTGCAGATTACGGCTATTATTCATTCTTGCAAAGGGCAAAAATTATCAATATCATTTTATAATCACAAAAACTATATTTCTGTATAGTATTTGTGGTGCTTTTACTGTTCTAATTATAAGAAATTATGATTTAAAAAGTATATTATTTGTAAAAAACATTTTCCATCATTGAAAAGATCTATTAGCTACCGACAGTCCCACAAAGGAGTTGCTCATAAAGTAATTAATTGAACTTCAAAATTTTATCCTCATTTTAGTCAAATAATCGATGGTGAAGAGTTCCTCCAACTGTCTGCAGAGAAAACTATGAAATTGCTGCAACGAGATTCCATCAATTCAGTCAATGAAGAGACCATATTTGACTGCATCATTAGATGGTGTGGCCAAGAAAGTGAACGTCTGTCAAACTTGAAAATCCTCCTGTCATCTTGTTTGAGGATAGGGGCCCTGCCTGATGCCTATTTCCAGGACCATGTGCTGGGGAACAGGCTGGTGAAGGAGGCCCAGCTGGAGATGTTCCTACAGAGAAGCAGGGAGGAGCGACCAGAGTGGATGAGGAGAGGATACTCTGAGGTCTTAGTTGCTGTTGGTGGGGAGGGGCCTGTTGAAGGGTATGTAACATGGAGCTCAGGAAAATAAACATTTGGATCAGTAAATTGTATTTTTAAGGGGCATGTTTAGGAGGTTGTTTTTAGTTTGTACAGACACATAATACATAAACAGAGATAGAAAAATAGGAAATTATTTCAAAATTTCTAAAGTTTCATGTGACTTGAATTGTAGGAATGATCCCGTGGTGGAAGTGAAGGCTACAGTGACTTGTGTAGTACCACCAAACAGCTCTCAGACCCAGACAGGACACAGGGTCAGTTGGATACCTCTGAAGCCACTCCTGGCACCCAGGGCTGGCCATAGTGTGGTCAGCGCAGGTAAGGATCGGCCAGATAATTATTTTCTGCACTTTTTATTGTTCCCTTTATTTCACTCATAACATATATCTGTTTGCCTTTCTGGTGATAAGTAGTTGTTTATTATAAGTTCTAAGCAAGTTATAAGGGGTTAAGCAAACAGGTGTTAATTAAAGTAAATACTTACTGTTGTAAACACAAAGTCTGACTGTTGATCAACAAGTTCTTTTTCCAGGTGGCTACATTTATGCCATAGGGGGGCGAGATGCCAGTGGCCATATTGTAAACACCGGTGAACGTTATTGTCCACACAACAACCAGTGGACAAGTATAGCCCCCATGTCTCATGCCAGAGTGGGCTTTGGCCTGACTGCCATTGATGATCATATTTATGCTTTAGGAGGCAGCAATGATATGTCAGATCCACTGACCAGTGTGGAAGAGTATAACATATACACAAATAAATGGAGAACAGTGTCTGGTATGAACCTTAAACGAGCATGGTCAGCTTTTGCTGTGCTAGATAAAAAAATTTACGTCCTAGGAGGGGGGATTATGGGTAAACTTTATGAAGCTGTAGAATGTTATGATCCCAAATGTGAAACTTGGTACTCAGTACCTCCCATGAAAGAGCGACGTTTTGATGCTCGAGCTGTAGGACACGAGGGCAGTGTATATGTATTTGGAGGCTTACGTCGACTTGCATGCCCAGGTGCATCACACAATGGAGCAGCCATGAGATTTTGTGACACAGAAGTATTTCCCAGGGAACTGCAGAACTGGACCGTGATGCCCTCTGCCAGATCAGGAATGTGCACCATGTCTGAGGTTTCACATGTAGATGGTGCTGTTTCTTTTCAAGATGAGATCTTGGTGTGTGGTGAATTGGATGTTGGTGGGGTTTATCACTTTGCTCGAGCTTATGACCATAGGACAGATAGCTGGAGAGGTGTGATTCTGAATCATCCACCCGGTCAAAGAGGAATGCAACTAACTAGTGTCAAAATTCCCAATGCTTTTTTACACAATTTAATGTGGAGCCAAGAAACTGCAAACTGAGTAGGAAATGTAATTGCTTCTTTACGCTGAAAATGATATTTTAAATGTTTATTAGCAATTTTTCAAAAATATATACTAGTGTATAAAGGAAGAACTCCTTCCATTGGTCATTAGAGATTAAGAATCTTTGAGCCATTTGCCAGCAAGGAATATACATTAATGCAGGTAATTAGTGAATATGAAATTTGGCGGGTTGCCAGACTGCATTGACATGCTTCAGCAAGCAGTTAGTGAAGAAGAAATTATTTGGTTTGTTACAAGGGAAAATCACTTAGCTTGTACAAGGATAAATTTTGAATTGAAGTCCATAAGGTAATTTGAAAGATTATTTATGTTAGTTACCAGCAACAAAGTTGGCTTGTCAAACAAGAAATATTTAACACTGCCCAATGCCATGAATTTCAATTTAGATATTTAATGGTTTTCTATCTGTGTTTGATATTGCCCCAAAGTCATATTTTTTTGATGTCTACATATCCTGCATATCTGTCTTTCTCAGTTCTGACCCTAAAAAAATTAAAACCCCTAAAATAAAAGTACCTGATATCAGTATTTTTCTTTTGAAGCTTGTAGCAATTTGTTGAGCAATGTTTTGCAATATGGAGAATTTTTTAAAGAAAAATTCTATTTAGCAGTAATCTCAGCTAGGATACCTTAAAATTATTTATATCAAAATGAAAATAGCTTTACTAGGATAATCTCAAAATGTTTTTCATTAAAATTTTAATCTGTTACTGATAGTTAAAGATAAAGTAAGAGAAAGAGCAAATGCCCTGTAACATATATTATCAGTGCCATTTTCTTACATAACAAATAAAGTCAACATGCCAAAAAACCAAAAGTTATCACTCAGGCAGCTAAAAAGCTTTAAAATGGCACCTTCTAATATGATCTATCAGCTGCTTTTTTCTTTCAGTCTGTAATACACAGAAACCAGAAAAAATTGTTCGGTTATCATTTTAAAGATAGGTAATGAAACTTTCACTTTTCAGCTCTACTATTTGAAAATCTATGGTGCTATTGTTCAGGGTTATCAGCAATAACTTGACATATGTACTTGGTTAATATGCAGCTTTAATCTTGACTCCTAAAGATTGGAATGTGTTTTAGAGAACATTCACAACCAGTTGATCTACAGACTACACAGCCTGTGGAACAAATAGGGTGCACACTAGAAAGCAAGCTGCGTAATCTCACAACAAGTATGTAATAGATTCCCAGCCCCCCACGCGCGCCATTTCAGCAGGGACACAACTACATCTTGACACATGCTTTCAAGTGGGTCGAGCTAGGGGCATTCAATAGCTTTTATGCAGTAGTAAATATTCTCATTCTAACATTTAAACCATATTTTTAAAAAGTTAAAAAAAGCTGTACACTGCACCGTTTTATCCATTTCAATTACATGATAACTGCAATGATTTCATCATGTAAACATTTATTTTTCTCCCTTAAACTCTCAATGTGCAGTGTTGTGTCTCTTATTTATTTATTTATTTTTTAAATTGGCTATGGCCATTTTAAGGTCAGGGTAGTTTGAGAAACAATCTCCTGAAAACAACCTTACCTGACATAATTACAAATTGCCAAGCTTGTTTCATTATTGGTGCATTAACAATTTTTAATGCTGATAGTACATGGTTGGCTCATAAAAAAATGAGGATTTGCTCTTTTAAGTTCCTCCGAGCATTTATTGTAGTATTTACCCAATTCTACTTTGTCTTATTTACAACAGATAAGATAACTTCTGAGGAGAATGTCCCGTTTGTTTATGACGTAGAATAGTATGTATACTGCAATGTGCTGAACTGAAACATAGACCTGTTAAATATCAGGAATTCCATCTTTACCATATATTGGTGTCTCAGCAAAATATTATTGGCAGTACAGATAAATAAATGTTTCTATCTGTTGTTAAAAAAAAAGAGATGTGATAAAGCAGTGAAGTGGATAGCAATCACTCAGCACAGAGCAGAGATGCAGTATCCAGTCACGTTGAACATATGACACTATGGTATTGTTTATACATGCAAATGTGTGTACTGGTAATATATAGAAAACTTTATCATAATTTGTATGTATTTGAATTTCACCATTCAAGTTGCAATACCGTAGTTTTTTCTACTACATGGTCTGTGTCCCAAGGTTCTCTGAGTTTTACAATTAAAAAAAAAATCCTAAGGCCGCATTCTCAACGAATTAAGCCAGGCTTTACAAATCCTGNCTTCAAGAAAGGTTTAGTCCTTGTAACCATTTGTATGTTTGTTATTGCAAAATCCCTTGGGGGGATATAAAAGTGTGTTGGTTGGTTGGTTTGTTTGCTTGTTTTGTATGTCTATGTACTCTTTCTGGCGCAGAACACAGAAAGCATAGTTCCAATTTTTTGTGAATCATTGTACGGGGTGCCTGTGAACAAATTTTGGTGATGTTGATTAATTAATTTTAAATTAGTTAATTGAATAATCAATTATGTATAGATTTTGATGAAATTCACTGGATAGGTCACAAATGAGCTAAGAAAGAAGTGATTAGGTTTTGGCGATATTCCATTAATTTATAGTTAAATGTTTAGGATATCTCAGTCCTCACAAATGGCCAATTTCATGCAATTTTCAGGATAGGTCAGAAATGAACAAAGGAAGAAATTGTTTGATTTTTTTTTTTTGGTGATGATTTTTTCCTTTTTTTAAATTTTTTTATTGTTGTACTGATACCCCGATACGACCACCAATTCCGTTCATGATCCATTAATTAATTGATGAATAATTAATTTTGCAGAATGGCAATATAATGGTAATATCTATATTACCATTATATTGCCATTCTGCAAAATTGCCATTCTGCAATAGAATGGTAATATCTATATTTTTCATTGATATGGCTTGAAATTTTCACTGTTACAATTAGTTGTAATACCACTACTGTATTTCTCAATTTTGCCTAATTTTTCTTTTTCTAAATTATTACCTTTGATGTAAATTTTCATGGAGTCCCATTGGTATTCACTGAAGACATAATGCAAAAAATTTAGAAGGAATAATGGTTTTTCAATTAAAAAATCAATCTAACAAAAAAAAAAAAATAATAATAATAATACAAATATCATTTTTGGTGCAAAGTTTCATCCAAATTTCTGTCATGAAAGTCATCTTCACTTTTTAAAAACAGTTACCGGTAGCATTGAATGAAGAGTATTGAATTTCAGGCTGTCTGCTTTGACTGCCCTGCATTAAATTGTCAAATTTTGAGATGATTGGTTAAAAATAATTGAAAATAGAACTATTTAAAATTTACTCAGTTTACAGGGAGGCCTTTTGGGTATTCTGACCAGGAAAGGGCAAAGGAAAAAATTAAATAAAGTACAAATACTTTATGTAATGGTACTCAGATGTTGCTGTAATTATATCATTATCATTATTTATGCTAACCTTAAAATCTTTATCACAAAAGTTGCCGAATGCAAAATCAAAAGGTTATAAATAAACAAGAACACAACATACATGTTGGATCTGATTTATAATGTTGTACAGCATTGGTTATACACTACAATATACAAAACATGACAAACTATTTCACAGCATTAAATTAAGCATATCATTTAATAAGTTTTGCTATAGATTATTGATAGGAAGAACTAACAAAATATTTATTGGCTATCACTCAGTGAGTTAATTTATATGAGGAACTGTAACAGTTGCTTGGGCTAGATACTATGAAAGCGAAGAAGATAACACATAAATGATAGGATGACCAAGTTTGCAAATGGTAAATGTTTTTTTTATTGACATATTGTTCTTAGAATAAGCAAAAGCAACACAAAACATCCACAGTTGTTTTTTTTTTTTAAATCAATTTCATACAATTTATGTTATGTTTCCACCACTCCATGGAATACCATAATCACGTCAAAAAGTTTCCTTCCACTCCTTCGACTTTACCTTGATTGGGGAAACAGGCTGCCCCAAATTATCACCTGTAATTTCCTACAAAATTTCATGGAGTCCAAGCTATAATTTTTCAAAGAAATTCATAAGCCCTTCAGCCATCTTAATCAACTCACAGTTCATTATATTTAGTCCAAAGGACTGGTGTACTAACAACCACTAACTTGCAGATTACGGCTATTATTCATTCTTGCAAAGGGCAAAAATTATCAATATCATTTTATAATCACAAAAACTATATATCTGTATAGTATTTGTGGTGCTTTTACTGTTCTAATTATAAGAAATTATGATTTAAAAAGTATATTATTTATAAAAAACATTTTCCATCATTGAAAAGATCAATTAGCTACTGACAGTCCCACAAAGGAGTTGCTCATAAAGTAATTAATTGAACTTCAAAATTTTATCCTTATTTTAGTCAAATAATCGATGGTGAAGAGTTTCTCCAACTGTCTGCAGAGAAAACTATGAAATTGCTGCAACGAGATTCCATCAATTCAGTCAATGAAGAGACCATATTTGACTGCATCATTAGATGGTGTGGCCAAGAAAGTGAACGTCTGTCAAACTTGAAAATCCTCCTGTCATCTTGTTTGAGGATAGGGGCCCTGCCTGATGCCTATTTCCAGGACCATGTGCTGGGGAACAGGCTGGTGAAGGAGGCCCAGCTGGAGATGTTCCTACAGAGAAGCAGGGAGGAGCGACCAGAGTGGATGAGGAGAGGATACTCTGAGGTCTTAGTTGCTGTTGGTGGGGAGGGGCCTGTTGAAGGGTATGTAACATGGAGCTCAGGAAAATAAACATTTGGATCAGTAAATTGTATTTTTAAGGGGCATGTTTAGGAGGTTATTTTTAGTTTGTACAGACACATAATACAGGACAGAGATAGAAAAATAGGAAATTATTTCAAAATTTCTAAAGTTTCATGTGACTTAAATTGTAGGAATGATCCCGTGGTGGAAGTGAAGGCTACAGTGACTTGTGTAGTACCACCAAACAGCTCTCAGACCCAGACAGGACACAGGGTCAGTTGGATACCTCTGAAGCCACTCCTGGCACCCAGGGCTGGCCATAGTGTGGTCAGCGCAGGTAAGGATGGGCCAGATAATTATTTTCTGCACTTTTTATTGTTCCCTTTATTTCACTCATAACATATATCTGTTTGCCTTTCTGGTGATAAGTAGTTGTTTATTTTAAGTTCTAAGCAAGTTATCTGGGGTTAAGCAAACAGGTGTTAATTAAAGTAAATACTTACTGTTGCAAACACAAAGTCTGACTGTTGATCAACAAGTTCGTTTTCCAGGTGGCTACATTTATGCCATAGGGGGGCGAGATGCCAGTGGCCATATTGTAAACACCGGTGAACGTTATTGTCCACACAACAACCAGTGGACAAGTATAGCCCCCATGTCTCATGCCAGAGTGGGCTTTGGCCTGACTGCCATTGATGATCATATTTATGCTTTAGGAGGCAGCAATGATATGTCAGATCCACTGACCAGTGTGGAAGAGTATAACATATACACAAATAAATGGAGAACAGTGTCTGGTATGAACCTTAAACGAGCATGGTCAGCTTTTGCTGTGCTAGATAAAAAAATTTACGTCCTAGGAGGGGGGATTATGGGTAAACTTTACGAAGCTGTAGAATGTTATGATCCCAAATGTGAAACTTGGTACTCAGTACCTCCCATGAAAGAGCGACGTTTTGATGCTCGAGCTGTAGGACACAAGGGCAGTGTATATGTATTTGGAGGCTTACGTCGACTTGCATGCCCAGGTGCATCACACAATGGTGCAGCCATGAGATTTTGTGACACAGAAGTATTTCCCAGGGAACTGCAGAACTGGACCGTGATGCCCTCTGCCAGATCAGGAATGTGCACCATGTCTGAGGTTTCACATGTAGATGGTGCTGTTTCTTTTCAAGATGAGATCTTGGTGTGTGGTGAATTGGATGTTGGTGGGGTTTATCACTTTGCTCGAGCTTATGACCATAGGACAGATAGCTGGAGAGGTGTGATTCTGAATCATCCACCCGGTCAAAGAGGAATGCAACTAACTAGTGTCAAAATTCCCAATGCTTTTTTACACAATTTAATGTGGAGCCAAGAAACTGCAAACTGAGTAGGAAATGTAATTGCTTCTTTACGCTGAAAATGATATTTTAAATGTTTATTAGCAATTTTTCAAAAATATATACTAGTGTATAAAGGAAGAACTCCTTCCATTGGTCATTAGAGATTAAGAATCTTTGAGCCATTTGCCAGCAAGGAATATACATTAATGCAGGTAATTAGTGAATATGAAATTGGGCGGGTTGCCAGACTGCATTGACATGCTTCAGCAAGCAGTTAGTGAAGAAGAAATTATTTGGTTTGTTACAAGGGAAAATCACTTAGCTTGTACAAGGATAAATTTTGAATTGAAGTCCATAAGGTAATTTGAAAGATTATTTATGTTAGTTACCAGCAACAAAGTTGGCTTGTCAAACAAGAAATATTTAACAGTGCCCAATGCCATGAATTTCAATTTAGATATTTAATGGTTTTCTATCTGTGTTTGATATTGCCCCAAAGTCATATTTTTTTGATGTCTACATATCCTGCATATCTGTCTTTCTCAGTTCTGACCCTAAAAAAATTAAAACCCCTAAAATAAAAGTACCTGATATCAGTATTTTTCTTTTGAAGCTTGTAGCAATTTGTTGAGCAATGTTTTGCAATATGGAGAATTTTTTAAAGAAAAATTCTATTTATCAGTAATCTCAGCTAGGATACCTTAAAATTATTTATATCAAAATGAAAATAGCTTTACTAGGATAATCTCAAAATGTTTTTCATTAATATTTTAATCTGTTACTGATAGTTAAAGATAAAGTAAGAGAAAGAGCAAATGCCCTGTAACATATTATCAGTACCATTTTCTTACATAACAAATAAAGTCAACATGCCAAAAAACCAAAAGTTATCACTCAGGCAGCTAAAAAGCTTTAAAATGGCACCTTCTAATATGATCTATCAGCTGCTTTTTTCTTTCAGTCTGTAATACACAGAAACCAGAAAAAATTGTTCGGTTATCATTTTAAAGATAGGTAATGAAACTTTCATTTTTCAGCTCTACTATTTGAAAATCTATGGTGCTATTGTTCAGGGTTATCAGCAATAACTTGACATATGTACTTGGTTAATATGCAGCTTTAATCTTGACTCCTAAAGATTGGAATATGTTTTAGAGAACATTCACAACCAGTTGATCTACAGACTAAACAGCCTGTGGAACAAATAGGGCGCACACTAGAAAGCAAGCTGCGTAATCTCACAACAAGTATGTAATGGCTTCTCAGCCCCCCACGGGCACCATTTCAGCGGGGGCAGAGCAATTAAATCTTGACACATGCTTTCAAGTGGGTCGAGCTAGGGGCATTCAATAGCTTTTATGCAGTAGTAAATATTCTCATTCTAACATTTAAACCATATTTTTAAAAAGAAAAAAAAGCTGTACACTGCACCGTTTTATCCATTTCAATTACATGATAACTTTCAATGATTTCATCATGTAAACATTTATTTTTCTCCCTTAAACTCTCAATGTGCAGTGTTGTGTCTCTTATTTATTTTTTAAATTGGCTATAGCCATTTTAAGGTCAGGGTAGTTTGAGAAACAATCTCCTGAAAACAACCTTACCTGACATAATTACAAATTGCCAAGCTTGTTTTATTATTGGTGCATTAACAATTTTTAATGCTGATAGTACATAGTTTGCTCATAAAAAAATGAGGATTTGCTCTTTTAAGTTCCTCCGAGCATTTATTGTAGTATTTACCCAATTCTACTTTGTCTTATTTACAACAGATAACTTCTGAGGAGAATGTCCCGTTTGTTTATGACGTAGAATAGTATGTATACTGCAATGTGCTGAACTGAAACATAGACCTGTTAAATATCAGGAATTCCATCTTTACCATATATTGGTGTCTCAGCAAAATAATATTAGCAGTACAGATAAATAAATGTTTCTATCTGTTGTTCAAAAAAAGAGATGTGATAAAGCAGTGAAGTGGATAGCAATCACTCATCACAGAGCAGAGATGCAGTATCCAGTCACGTTGAACATGGTATTGTTTATACATGCAAATGTGTATACTGGTAATATATAGAAAACTTTATCATAATTTTTATGTATTTGAATTTCACCATTCAAGTTGCAATACCGTAGTTTTTTCTACTACATGGTCTGTGTCCCAAGGTTCTCTGAGTTTTACAATTTTAAAAAAAATCCTAAGACTCTTGTGACTTAAGTTGAGCTTAAGTTATATTTTAACAAAAGGTTACTATAGATTTAAGGAAAGTAATAAGACCATTTTCACTTATTGAAGGGCATGTATCTAGCTCTTGCCAAAGACGGCCCCAGTGGCTGGGTTGCACTTAGTTGAATAAAATGTAACGGTAGCAAGTGGCTGGGGGGGGGGGAGGTTGACATAGTAACGAAAAATGCTGACATAACACAAAGGAAACTTGAAAGATAATATTTTTGGTTGCAGAAGGGCATCTAGCTAGTTCTTGCCAAGGCTGGGCCACATTGGTTGGAATACAGTGTAACAGTTGAGGATTTTTGACGTTTAGTGAAAATAGTTCAACAGTGTGAGTTGCTTTACATTTTTGTAGTTTTATTTCATGTTAAAAATATGTCTGGTGTGACTGTATTGTGAAAGAAAATATACTGTATAAACAACTTAACTGCACATTTTATTCAGCTATGTCACTACATTTTATCCACACAACTAATTTGACAGTGCTGCAGTAAGATATATTCTATATCTAAAAGATTTCAATCAACATAAGTAAACATAAAGTTGTCCTGTAGTTGATATAAGTAGAATGTTGAACATATTCTATAAACTGAATACAATTGCTGCAAACTGTTGGGTGTTAATGATACACTGCAAAAAAGGAACTGAAAAGAATGACAATATTACAACAATGAAGTCTAGAGAAAAAAGAATACAGATAAATGTCTTTATTGACAACCTGCTGCAACCTCAAAACAGATGAAAATAGCCATTGATTTCACTGTATTAAAGTTTTCTGGCTGGCAATTGCGAAATTTTCTCACTTGCCAAACTTATTTTCTCCACAACAAATTTAATAGACTGATGTTGTATTTTCTGCACAATAAATTTAATAGACTGAAGCTGTAGCAAGTCCTGTGAATCATTCCTGTAATTCTGGAACACTTTTTTTGCCTTTTTTATAGTGTACATGACAGATGCAGTGATAGTTGTATGTCCAGACACACTGTGCCTGTCCAAAAAGAACTTAAAAACAAATGGGACTCAGAGAAATTTTACCAAAACAATTGAACTATGGTATTTTTTAAAATGAAATCGAAACCTAAAAAAACATGGAAAAGGAAATACCACCTAAACTAATTTTCTTTCAGTTTTAAAGTCTGTTAAAACAAAAATTTATTTAACATGGTGCTTCAGTGTAAAAATGGCACAGAAAACAAAACTATTGATATAACTAATTACGTATGTATTATAGCAAGTCCTTCGCTATAACATTTCAAAAATATTTTTCAAACTGAAATTTAACAAATCCTGCTCATGAAAACCTACAATTTCCTATCAATTAACTTTACTGCAGCTGACCTCATGTTTATTATTATCAAAGCAAGGTATACCCAATGAAACAATTACCTAAACATAAAACAGCATAGTTCATAGAAAAAGACGATTTAATATAAGTCTTTTACACTTCTCTTTAGAAAACATAAGTTTAGTTATTTTAATAAAAGAAAAGAAAACTGATTCGACAAAAAATTATCTTGTCAAACTCCAAAGTACCTGAATATCTTGGGCATTTACGTTTTGGTTTCCATTATTTCAAACATCCAGTTTGACTACATCCCCGTCATTCCATGTCTATGCTTACTACAGGGGTAGCTGGTAATGTACTGTATTCTTCAAAGGCAAATACCTTGATGTTCAAGAGTATCATTCTGCTGTTTTATGGATCCCAACTCGAGATGCATGTAACAATTCAGTTCTTGAAATGAACAGCCAACTAGCTAAGTACTAAACTAAACAGTGGGCAGGAACTCGCTGGGCATGTACATTAGATAATAAAAATATTTAACCTAAAACTTCAAAATTGAGCAGAACAAGAGCAGGGTTCTATTTGCTTGACAAAACATGTTTCACATAAATAACCAGAGTTAATTAAAAAAAAAAAAAAAACTGACAAAATTATCAGAAAATGCATGCAACAACTAACCCACCAAATTATGTTTTCAGGTATTCATATTAACTATGGCAATATAAACTAATCTACTTATAGGGAAATTGTGGCAGTTTGGTACAGTGGTTAGGCTTCAATCTTGCATAGGACATAAGCCTGGTGGAAGGGATGCCATTCTGAACCCAGCATCCTCCACTCACACCAGTTCTCAAACATGACACAGGTTGATGACACATGAAAAATTCCTGTTCAGTCTTGTCATCCATACTCCACAATTGGCACTTCCATGACCAAGACCTCCACAATGGTGATATACAATGCACCAGTATTACATCTTATTTGCAGAGCTGCAGTACTTGTGTAGAAGATGCCTTGTTGAAAACAAAATCAAGAGACTATTTCCATAAACTACTAAGAATATATGTATGTCTGAAAGCTTATTAACTGTTCCTGTTATGTTTCTTATATTTTTTTAAAGTTCTTGTCCATCATTGTTCCAAAATTACATATGGTGTGTTCACTGTATGTTGTAAGAATCTTTCACTATATGCATAACCTATCAGCAAACTTTAACTTTTGCTTGGCGTTTCCTGGATGATGTCGAGGTATTACTGAGTGCTTCTATGCGATCCCTGGTGTTGTCTATTACACTTTGGAGTTCCTTCTGAAAAACAAAATATTTTCTTTGCTACAAAAAGGAATAACAATCATATAACTAAAATCTACTTGTTCTCCAAGAGTTACATTGAAAAAAGCCTAACAAACTGTGGAGCTGTATAAGGAATTATACTTCAAAACAGCCAGTTGTAGATCAGACTTTCATGCATGGAACTGGCCTTCCAACTCTGATGAATTTAACCTAGATTCCACAGATTGTTCAGTTTTTCTCAAGAAAACATTGAAAGTGAATGTCTGAGTAAATAACTGTATTGCCAATGTGAGAAACAACAGCAGGCTCTAACAAGGGGTTTGAGCACCTTCCATGAAGACTTTGGAAGCCTTCATCTTCAAAATTTTCAATGAGGAAGTATGACTTAAGCTTATTTCATTGTCTTGCATTATGCCAACCTGTCTTAATATTTTGCCTTTTTTATAACCAGGGAAGGTAAACTATGTCTCCTTGGTTTTTGACCAAATCTCAAGGTTTTCTTTTTAATCTGAAGATTTCTCAACCTGTTGAAAGGCCTGGTGTAAACATGATTTATTCCAATGCATGATATAAATAATGTTGGGCTTATGTACTGTACCATTTATTATAAAACTGTTCTAACATTTACATTTCAATGCTTTAAATAATTTACAAGTAATTCCCTTTCATACTGTCTTGATAGCATGTAAAACTAAGCCTGTTAAATAACCATGAGCCCAACCAATTTTAAACATATACGATTCAAAACATTTTGAACAATTAAGGCATGCATACTCACTTCTGTGCATCTGAACATGACTTTACATGCCTTGAGATTCTTTTTCTTCTGTACATGTGGTAATGCATGCTTCAAACAGTACACAGCATCCTCGCTCTCATTCACCACCTGAGGAAGAAGGCAAACAGGTGGAAATAGTACATGAATGAGCAGCACAAACAAATGGCAACAAAGATATTAAAGATTCACATTCTGCCCTGTCTGATATGATAATCTTTGTAGCTTAATGGAACTACATTATTTTTTTAAAGTTTACTGAAGTAAATCATATTTAAAATTTGTATATTCTGCCTGCATACAGTACATGCAACTTGGGTACATTTACTGAAAACCATGGAAAACACTGTTCATTACACTTACTGGGATTTAATTTTTGGAACTAGACATTAAAGATGGCACATATACAGTCATTAAACAAAGAAATTCCAAGAAACAGTCTATGGATTCATTGACATCTATAAACAATGTACCTATGGTGATAAAGTTTAAAATTTTTCTGTCAACTACAAGTGTCTGTTTATATTCTGGTTACCAGTGCATATACACATTATTTTCATCTAACACATTTGTTAACACCACACCTACTGGGTAGTAAAGCTAAAACTGTATTTCACATGGTTCAAGTTAAAATTATATCTTTTTTTTGTTTGTTTTGGGTATCCTTTTTCCAATTTTGAAACTTTTATGAATATTTATATTTCTAATTAGTAAAGGGCATTCCTATGTCTTACCACTATGTTTTCAGCTTTAGTCATTTGATTTGTTATATCTAAAAGGAGAGAAAATCGCCATTTTGACTTCATACAATTCCTGGATGCACTGCTGTGTGACGTAGACTAGTTGCAATACGGGCCAACAATTATGCCATCCTGTCAAGCCCACCATTCAATATTCATAGCAGGCACACTTTGTTAGTTACCCTTTAAGTATTTTATTTATGTGTGTTATTTATCATCTTATTGGCCTATCCCACCTCAAAAAATTGTCAATTTACATTTTTGTAAGCTTTGACATTGATGAATAGTAGTAGCTTGCTTGACTAAGATTAGACCTAAAAAGTACCATGACAGAGGAAAAATTGTGGAAAGGGAAGTTCAGCTTGTATGTTATTAGTTTGCATTTCACTAATGATATTAAGTGATTCCTTTATGTTCTGAAGCATTTGGAAAGTAAGAGATACTACAGATACTGATAGTTATAGGCAGAGCAATATATATATATATATAATATTATATACACTGTAAACCACAATTTGTTTGAATTGTTGTTGTGTCCAAAACTGACACCTAAACCCAAGCCCATCCACAATGTCTAATCAAAAGCAATCGCTGAGGAACAGCAGAGATTGTCCTGGAAGATAAAATGGTTTCTAGAGAAAGTGTCATAAACAACACAGTTTTCACACCTGAATGATGACTGAAGCAGACCTCATTATAAATTGTTTTCTGTTGGTAAGCTACGTAGTTCTTCAATTTTTTTTCCTTTTCTCTTATTGTCATTTTGTCCCATTCCTTTATTTATCAGGCACATGATATTTCATTCTACACTGCCTTATACCCAAGTTGACACCCAAGTCCAAGCACATCTACTAATTCTAATTACAAACAATTATAAATTATTATTCATTGTGAAGGCATAGTTTGCACACCTGAAGAAGCACCCCATTTAATGACTGCAAATTGTTCTCTTGTTAGGGATTGTACAGGTAGGTAGATAAAACTGTATTCACCTGCACCCTGCTCTTTATATGTGGTATTGACTTTTAACTTTCAAAAGAAATAAGATATTTTTAAAAAGTTTTTACCATGTGTCAGTTTTAATTCTAGTTTTTAATTTTATCTTTTATTTTAATACATTATTTTATTAATCATTTTATTTTTAGATCTTAAACTTCAGGATTTTATTGTTATTATTATTTCTTTTTCACTTTTAAGAGCTCTGTCGGTATTCAAATTTCTGATATATATATATATAGTGTGTGTGTGTGTGTGTGTGTAAGTCGATTAAATATTATTATTATACTATTATCATTATTATTCAATTATTATTATTAATATTATTAAATGTGTTGCTGGAAAAAGTGCCAGAAATGATGTTGCTTTCACACCTGAAAGAGGATTCACCTTGACTTCTGATTAATTTAGTTAAAACTTTTAATTGTTTTTCTTTTAGACGTATACAGAGATACCAAACACACAATATTAAACACTCTTATCTTGATGCAGATTTCCATTATGAAGTATTATTGACAATTCTGCTTATCACAAAACATGCTGTTCTTTGGACTTTTTCTTCTGACTTTCAATTTGAGAGACGTTGACTAGCTGCTTTATTTCCCTACCTCCAGTACAAGAGACTTCACAGCAGAGTCGAGTCTTGCTAGTGATGAGATTTCGTCACAGAGAACTGTATTGTGAAATATTTCAATCCACCAAGGGCCAGTCTCCATGGGTCACTCATGACCTTCTTTAAAATGCATTTATCTTGTTGTTGAAACTTTAAGAGTTTTTATAACAAAGGATTGACTTAATTTAAGTATAAACTATGTATTATATGGGCATAAGTCTGTTTGAAAAATTTTTGCTCTTTAACATACATGTATACATGTTCAATTTCTCTTGTAAGCTTGCTCTTGGCTTACTCATATAGCATATCTAATGCCAGTGCTATATGCGTATTGATGGTTGGTTAAAAACAAAGGCAAAAAATTGTGAGTTTCAAAAACATTTACTTCTTTAAGACGGGCCATACCTGAGGTTGATGTGAAAATCACAGACTTTTTAAAGAATTCTGAAGAAAAACTTTTGCCACCTGTTATGTTTAGTTGTCAATGAAAAAAAAATTCCTTCATCTTTCCTGTAAATGTGCCATTTTTGGTGTCTTGTATATTATTAATATTAATATTTTTTTGGCGTTTTGCTTTTGTCACAGAATGCCCAACCTTCTGTCTTTACTATACTCCAAGGTCTTATCAACACTGGGCAAGAACCTCATTGCTATAAACTACACATTTCTCATCTATTTACTCTCCAATTAGACATCTAGTTTGTATTTTGCTGCTAAATTTTGTCATCAAATAAAATGCTTCAATCAGCTTGAGGGGTTGGGAAAGTAAGATAATTTCAATAAAATGTTATTGGAAATTTATTTCTATGTGTGAAACAAGACTGATCCACATGGGTGGGCTTGTAATATTTACTTACCATAGAAAAATAGCAAATTTTCTTGCATATTTCACATACATTGTCCTCTTCCTCCAAGGTCTCAAAGGACTTCTTCCTCTTACCCCCAGGGAATGGGTCATCAGGAAGCTCCATTTTCTCCCAGCTGTGGAGACCAGCCTCCAGTAGCTGCTGGCGCGCAGAATTTTCCTCCTCTCTAAACAGACAACATGTTTAGACATGATACAAACACACAACAAAGTCTTTCATGCTGATCATTTGATAGTAGTGTATAAAAGGCTATGTACAAGATTCCTTCAAATGTTCCAATTTTACATGTACTTCTTCAAATAAACAACTTGTTTCATGCTGATTATATGATACGAAATATTGTTAATTAGAAGCTGTGTAACCTAATTTCTTTTCAAAAATAATCCTAAAAATCCTCAATGTTTCTTCTTCAGTACACAACTTAGAAATCATGTACAGTATGTATCTTGTTTAATACAGGAAAAAATCACAGCAATATTGAAGTTCAGCCAGCATGTACATGATGATATGATTGTTCCATTAATTTTTTGTAAACCTTGTTTCTATCCTAGCAGTGCACTTACATCACAGCGGTCAGTTCTGGCAGTACCAGTTTCAAGGTGTCCACAGGTGTCCTGTCATCTCTAACAAGACTGCAGAACAACTGCTCCACAGGGAATAACTGAGACTCACTGCTCTCTGACAGCAACTGTAACATCACATCAAAACAACCTTGATTATTACAGTGGCACTCAGTTTATTGATAAACATTCTTATTATCTGTGAAACTCCTGTTGTCACAAAGTACTAACAGTGCATTTAACTTGATGAAAACATTTAAAATGACGACTCATCAAACAAAGACCCTAGTTTGATATGTGAAACACTAACATGCCAATCCCCTTGTTAAGATACAATTTCACCATATAAAATTTTACATGTAATTAGGGCCAGGAGTAACCTAACGGGTTGACCCTTAGAAAATTGAAACATCCCACTGATTCCCACTAAGTAAAATTTGACACTGCTGTCAATCTCTCTTGAAGTGCAGATCTGAGACATTACGTTATGACAGTGAAAGCCAGTGCAAATATCAGAAACTTGGTAAACATTGTAAAATCAAAATCAATATCTGTCATACTGTAAGGAAGTCTTTAACAAATTTCAAAATACTGTTGTCTAAGTATTAGACTTTTCAACAGTTGAGCTGACTATTAGTTAAAGTCAGTATAATCTTAGGAATTGGCTCTTCTTTATTAAAAAAAATTGTTCAATTATATTCAGCCACAGGAAACTGCACTACGCAAGACATTCTCCAATCATCGTTCAGGCTTGAAAGCCACTTTGTTAACAGCACACGTATCAATGCATCAGAAAAAATGCTTTATTCTAAACCTGGACACCCTCTAACCAGAGAGTAATTAGCAATTGCAAAATGTGTAGATTTTGTATGTGTGTAAACAACAACTTGGGGGAAAATGGTTAGTGATTAGCTGGACATAGGTCATGCACTTCAGAAAGGGTCTCATGACAACAGCAATTTAGGTAACAACAGCTATATATGTATTTTTTTATTTATTATATATTTGCTGGTGAGCCACATACTTACACCATCAGCTTTTCTCCCCAGTGGAATCCAGCTAGATGGAGCAAAGTGGACAGACTCTAAGACATTGTACCCACAGCTCAAGGTGGCAGTAAATGATTCTGGGAAGACTGCTATAAATTGCCCTGCACTCTGCACAGTCCTGTTCACAGAAACACCTTCCATAAGCAGTAATCTTGGAGAAATCTGGAAAACCACAATGATGATGGTAAGCTGAAGGTCAAACCAGATGGTTTCAGGGTGTGCTAGGTAAGACTTGGAGGCACAACCATTGTGGATCTTGTGTACATGATATTGCTATCAGAACAGCAGACACACTCACCATTACTGTATCTTCAGGTAACCAGACAGGCTGATCAGTCACAAGACTGGGGACTAGTTTCTTCATTGCAGTTTGAAACTTCTGTGTTTCACTTCCAGGAATACAATACCTAAATTTAAAATTTAGTTATACTTAAATCAGGACCTATATTAGTTGATTGATCTTATAACCAGTGCATCAATATCAATAAATCTGCTTTATTATATTATTATTATTATTATATGCTTTAATTATTACATTATAATATATTATTCTGCTTGATATGAGCACTATATGGTTGTTGCACAGTTTGTCATATGATGTAAATACTGATCTTATGAAATCATCCCCTTCTGTATGATATACTGGTACTAGTTACATCATAATACACGTCAAACCAATGTATAGATGCTGGGTTGGAAAGCAACATTCTGAGGATTCCCTGTATTTTCATAGCTTAAACACACCATTGGCTTAATTGATAGTGTCCTGCTAACTGGTACATGACCTCATACCTACCAAATGACATCAGCACCTGTGTGATTGTACACAATATATGGCAGCAAGTGGGGGTCCCGGGACCAGCAGGAGGTAGAGAACAGCATGCCTATGTGGAGAGTAGGGGTGGTGACACCTACAAGACCAAATGTTTTACATATTCCCTTTATATCAGTTCTACAGGAACTGCTTCACATAAACTGAGAGGAATCTAGCATAAAGAGAACAAGACATGTCCCCATATAAACTAGAGTGCCACAATGGAAATAAGCGGACCACAATGGAAATACTAGTATTTATCATGCTTTATATACATATTTTATGTTATTTAAATTTTAATATTGAATAAATCACATCATATCATACTCCAACACCCCACCCCCACCCCCCAACAAACACAGAATCCTTCTAAAATTGCACTACTTTCAGGGATAAGAAAAAGAGGTGACTTCTTTTAGGAGAAAATAATGGACTAAGTTCAATTTTCAAAAAACCAAACAAGACTGCCATACAATAAACAGCTGACACAGATTATACCAAAGTTAATGGTTGCATTCTCAAGTATTTTACTAGCTTAATGCAGATAAATCAATACTCATGTAGTAGTATTTTGAATCATCATCAATAATATCATGAATACTCACTTTCTATAGTCCCCAAGACTTTCAGCAAATTATTCGCATTTTCAGGTACATTATTGAAGTTCCAACCATGTCTGCAAATACACAGGAAAAAAAATGATGCAATGACCTGTAAAATATTGGCAGTGTATGGTGAAAAAGGTGAATGTAACACCCTCTTTAGCAAATCTTTAGCTGCATACAGGTGTAACAAGTCATGTAATCTTAATAACTATAACTAAGTATACTATTTATTTAAAGGGATAACAACTGTTCGTAATATATCCATATTTCACTATAAATACATTGCAAACAACTCACCAAAAAGGCAGTTAACGCATGTATTCTAGAGTTTGTGCTTGCCATCACATCATGTGACCTCCATAGATGACTACACTTTGTAATAATCTCTTAAGAGAATATTACAAAAAAAAAACAAACTTTTTAGAAAAAAAAAAACAAAAAAACAAACAAACAAAAAAAAAATGGGGACTAACTTTGAATGTGGGAATGGATTCGTTAATCATTGGGAAGTATGGAAAATTGTCTTTTGCCCCAGGAAAATTCATTTTTTGGCCAAAATGAACAGTTGTTATCCCTATAAGGTAATGAAACCAAGCATTTGAAAATCCCCCACAGTTGTATTTATATCTTGCAAAGATTCTTATATTTCCCAATTAAGACCTTAAGATGATAAATCAATTAAATAAAAGCTGGGTACCTAGTGTCATTATTCTCTTTTCAGCCATCTTGGCAGCTTGCAATGTATGTATTATACATGGTGCAGGGCCACAGTGCATTTCACTGTGCCATTCACTTGTGAGGCCATGAAAGAATGCTTTGTCATTCTAAATAACTTGCCAATTATTAAATTAAAAATGGAATAAAGCATCCAAGTCCAAGTTCAGGGAATGGTCAAGCAATGATTTTTGTGTACGAAAAAATTTTCTTTTACCCCACAAAAATTCATGTTGGTTGGTGAATACTGTGAAGAGCACCTTAAGCGCAGTCATAACCTCAGAGAAATGATCTAAACATATGAGAATATCAGTGTTATTGTGCACCATGAGAAAACATAAGAAAAAAGATATGATTCCTTTTGGAGAAAATAAAAACAATCTGTTCTGATCATGTCACACAATCTTGTTTTACCTCCACAGATGACTCAAACTGCACACAAAGGAATTTGTGTTGTTATTTTTTGTACCTGCAAGACATCAGATCATCTTTCCCTATTTTAAATAGGTGTTTACCACCAGTTTTGACTAACTGCATTTATATTGTTACAAGCACATTGTAACATATCAATTAAATCCCCATATTCTGGCAAATTCCACACTGAAATATAAACAGACCATTCTACAGTTTCTGGTAATACTCATGTTGTCATATACTAAAACAGTTTCTTAGAGAGAACTTCTGATTTCAATTTCCCATTTTATAAGGAAAAGTAATGTCAAAAATAGAGTAAATTACCTATAATATTGATTTTCCCTTTTGTTTGGGAATCCACTGCCCCAGTGCTGTGTCCCTACATGACCAGCGTGGACAGCAACATGAACTTGGCGCTCGGTCACTATCTTCCAGTATTCGTGCTAAAAAGACATTTAAAAAGTCCTGAATGCACGTCAATTCTAAATGAAAGAAAAGTACCTGAAATTAACTCAAACTGAACACTACACAGAGGAGATTGGCACAGGGGTAATGGCAGAACTGGTTTGGTTCTAAACAATTGACTCAAAAGCTGGCAAATATAAGGAGAAACTTAAACAGAGAAAGATCATTCTCACTGCTAAATTTTAACAAAATTTCCCAGTAACCTACAGCAAAAGATTGTGATACAATTTCAACATGTCCACATAACAACCCTTTACCCAGTTCTTCTTGTGATGCCATTTGTGGCATTTTCATAATAACTGTCAATATCATTCACAGTGTAAACTACTATAGAAATGTAAGCATGATTATCCTGTGTATCTCTTCAGTAATTGTACCTTAAGTATTTAGGTGAATTTTTTCATTAAACTATTTACATAGTACATTTTCATAAAAAGTGATTTTAGTGTGATGTATGAATAACCATGAGGGGCATAGGCCGGAGATTTTGAAGGCCAGGTCAAGAAGACATTGATAAAGTGCCAAAGGATTTGGGTACTTATAGATTGGCTTGAAGGTATGGAAAAAATCAAGGCATAGATATACATTTGAAGAAGGCAAGAGAGGCTTCCTTGCAGTACCCATGTTATGATACTATAGAAAAATCATTCAGCTTATGCCATTTTCACTTGTGATGACTTTCGCTTTTTATAAGAATTATCCATTTTCATTTCAGTATCAGCCGACGTGTCAATCCCCAGAAATCCAACATTTGGTCCCTGACACCATCAACCCGGAGCCTAGCTGGTCCCTGACACCATCAACCCAGAGCCTAGCTGGTCCTTGACACTGACAGACTTGATGACTTGAAGTGTGGAATAGTATATGAAATCGGGTGTGTGAGCTGTAACAGAGTCTATGTTGGAGAGACAAGAAGAAAACTAGAAACAAGGCTAGAGGAACACAAGAAAGATGTAAAGGAAAATGTAAGTGAGGGAGTCAACACCAGATCCAATCGCTCTATGTCGACAGGAGTGTTACACAAATCCACCATCACAGATCATATGTCAGATAACAACCATGTGCCAAAATGGGACAATGTAAAAGTGCTAACCAGTGAAAATTATTACAGTTAACGCAAAGTTTTAGAATCCATCTGGATAAGAAGAAAGAAACACACCATGAACAGAGATGAAGGAGCACACAAGCTGTCCCATGTGTATGACGACATTCTCAAACCCACCCTGGGGGGAAGGGGGACGAGAGGGACTAACAAGTCATTATCAAGACTGAGATAATTACCTGTCCACCTTCACCTGAACAGGTAATTCAATTGTGACCAAGTCTGTCAGAGAGAACAGACGAAACAGTCAACAGGTAAATCAAAATTTCTGGATCTATCATAAATGAAAACTTTCTGACTTCATATTGTACTCAATAATTTTAGAAATAGTACAAGGGAAAATCTACACACAAAAATAACAGTACTTTGCATTGTATTATCACCAACGAGGGGACTTGCCCTCAAAAAAGGTTACAAATGAAAAAAAAAGGTAATGTCATGGTTAATTTTTTCTTCAGAGCATTCATCAAGATCAGCGGAATCAGCCAAAATAAGTCCTAATCAGTACATGCAAAGCAGCTGCGAAGTCGTTCTACAGCGTCTACACGCTATTGATGAATTACTCAGCTCTTCATGCTACAACTGCTGTTTATAAGCTGGGATGAGATGGATGTGTTGTGGTCTGACTTATCAAGATACAACTGGGCGTTTCAGTGATTTATAAGCGTCTTTGATTGTTGTATAACAATGGTCTTATATGGCATCTTTCCTGGCATGATCTATGTGAGTGTCCAGTATTAGAGTTAATATTTTTGTCTTTGAATAACACAACTGGATGAATCATGATTTAAATTCTGACATGCAGAGTTTTCAGTTTTGGCTAATGGCTGTGTCTCCTGTACCTTGACCCTTAACTCTCGAAGATGAAAGGAGAACCCAAATGCAGCTCCTCACTATAATATGAAAGCATTGTAGGTCTGTGTAGTTTCTGAAAAATGACACAAATAAATATTTTCTCACAGAAAATGTTTTTTTTTTTTACAAAATATTGGCCCATTTGGCCTTGAAATAAAGGTCAAATCCAGGGTCATATTTGAAATCTCCACAGATGATTTTCGCTCAGACTTCTATAGTAACTTTTCATAAGTAACATAATCCGTTTGGTCTGAGAGATATTTAGCATTAAAATTTCACAAATTTTGACAAGGGTGCATTGTGCATTGATGAAATAAATGACATCTTTTGAGATAATGAGGAATCTGTTCTGAACCATACTTCAGAGAGAGAGAGAGAGAGAGAGAGAGAGAGAGAGAGAGATATGGGGGAATGGTCATAATAAAATTGCCACCCTTTTATACAAAGATGTTTTTACCTAAAAGTACACAAACCACAGAGGCTTTTGATCTAACTCACCTAAAGATTAGAAATACTTCTTGATTATTTTATAACAGATTAGTGTCATGAATTAATGTCAGCAAATGTAATAGTAATTCATCAGCTCCTGATGAACCTCACTGTCTGTCAACCATCTTGACATAATTTTGAAATGCTTACAACCTGGAAGCTGGTTCTAGAAAGTACATCAGAATTTGAAAAAGGTTATTTTATGTCTCCAAATTGTTCCAGAGTTATGGATAGTGTGAAGAGAGGAGGACCACAGAAGGCCTGTAACCAGGAATTTTTCTTTCACCACGAAACTTTTGTGTACAGAGATCAAATTTTTTACCCAGAGTGATGCTTTTCCCAGCAAAAAAGCAGTTTGTTCAAACCCTGGCCTGCACAGCTTAGGTAGTAAGAAAAATACTGTTAGCCCCAACAAAATTTTCATGGGAAAATGTTATGCTGGGCACCTAAAATGCAAATCAATGAACATGTTGTGAAGAATTCTTTGCTTCCCTGCATGTGAATTGCCAGTTAAAACGTTTTCCAAGAAATAAATTACTTTTCAGTTGTATCTTGTTGTATTTGGTCAAATTGCATATACTTCAAGCGTAATTTTTTCAGTCTTGTTATATCTTCTCCAATCTCCTTTTGTGAGTATGTAGGAGAATAGCATAGCAACAATATAAATGCTCAAGATTAGGAAATTAACTATTACCACCATTCTTAGAACATTCATGTGTTTCATAGCCAAGTACAGCTCATCAGAAATATTCATTTTTCATGCACTAGCTCTGTTCTGACCAACTGCAAGTAGAACATCCTATAGTGGCTTTTGTTGACTGGGCATAAATAAAACAAAATTATACTGAAGGAGTAAAATGCAAGTTGAGATCAGTGTTAATATATATGAATGCACTTGTCAAATGACAAAATAATTAGATAAATAAGTTTATTGCGTCCCTCCTTCTATGTACAGTTACTACAGGTAGTTCTTCAGCTGTTTTGGATCGGATGCTTATAAAGACAAGTAAAAAACCTAAAATTCTGACACAATGACATAATTAACAATTAAAAAATTCTTTTTCTTCCCCTTTTTTTTCTTACATTCTCAATAAAGAGTGTTTAAAATTCCCTACATTTTCTGCTTCTCTAGCTGTTTTGGATTGGACACTTATTGAATCATGAATTGAATCATTTTAGTGAATGTCTATATTACATGATGCATACTTTAATTATACATTTTCTTTCTACTCTTTTACTTCTATGGAATGGTCACTCTTTTTTGGGTTTTATGTAGGCCTTTACAACAATTTTTGTTTGTTCAGGTTCTATACAAAGGGTATCCAAATTTGTGCATTTTTAATAGACAACTGTTATATTTTTTGTAATGAAATTTGCCCGTGACATGTTAACCTTTACACATGAGACTACTTTTTCATTTGCTTAGAATTCCATTCTTTAATCTATCAAATGACACCAAAGAGTCAAAATACATCATTTTATCATTATTTCTTATCAATTCCTGAGTGTTTAGTTATCTACCGGCAATATCAATCACTGCACCAGACATTCTGATTCTATTTTAAAACTCAAGAAAAAAATTCTGCCAACAATTTCTTAGAAATACCCATCCATCAATCATAAAATCATTACAATAGCCAGAGATACATTTATATATTTAAAAATCAGAGACATAAAAAAGCTTCCAAGTCAATGATTTAAATATTAAGACAAATTGCCATTTCTGACATGACTTGTACTTCCCGTCCCTGACATGATCAAATACAAAGCATGGGTTCTCGACCAGTACTAAAATAAGCTGTGAACATGTGTCAGTGTTTTTTTGCAAGTCCAGTTACATTTACATTTTTAGGCCAAAGGAACAGCACTCAATCTGATAAAATTGTGCCTTACATTCTCTTTGTTTGTCAACAAGAAAAAGACTCCCACCAAATGCTGCAATGAAATCATTTTTTTCAGAATGAAGGATGGTGTTCTTTTCTGTACAAAATGAAAAGTATTACATATATTAGGAATAAAAAATAGTAGATCAAGGGTTATTAAAATTTAAAGCTTGAAATGTCCATGCAATCAGTTTTTAGCAGGATAACATCAGCAGAGATCCAATAGCTGAAATGGCCTTGCTTAGAGAAAATTATCTTGAACTCTACAAATGCATCATGCATTTTTCTTCAAATAAAGTCTGTCCATTATCTGATATAACTGTCAGATAACATTCCTTTACAGAAACAGAAAAAATGAACTAAATTGATTAAGGCAAGTATCAGATATCAAATACAATGCATTCAGACAATAAAGAGAAGAAAATGTGCCTTTTTTCTAATCAAAACCTAATAAATTTAAAGTAAAACATAACACTAAGTACAGTTTTGTAGTTATGGTGGTAACAAATATGTTTAATGGCAAAGCAATGTTTATGACATGGACAGACAGGTTTTCAGAATGTGTGTGTGTGTGTGTGTGTGTGTGAGAGAGAGAGAGAGAGAGAGAGAGAGAGACAGAGAGACAGAGAGTGCATGTACGAGTTAACAAGCAGTAGTATCTGGTTTTACTTGGTGAAAGTTGAATTTTACTAGCTAGTATGCAAAACCTGCATTGATCTTCCTGCACTTCAATATTGGTCAGCAAAATTGAAAATTGAAGGAGCACAAAGAAATCAATACACAAAATATGGGATAAATGCAGCTTTTTATGGTAAATAAAAAGTGCCTTCACTTTTTTCTCACATTACATGTTTGGCAGCATAAAAGGGAACCTAAAGGATAAGGCTAAGAATATAACAGGTGGTTCTAATTATATAAAAAAAGACAGCATAGCTGTATAAAGCTGTTATAGACCACTAAAGAGCAGTAAAGTATATATACCTTGAAATATAGCTTGAGGTGCAGAATAATACACAAAATCCAAGGTTTCTGTTTATTTAGGCAATTTATTATTTAGTTCCTTATTATTGGCATATACAACGCTAATCAAAATACATGACGTTGTACAGCTGGCAATGTGTCCATTTTACCTGTGAAGTGCCTGGAAGCATATAATTACAAATTGGGTGTGGAAGCAATCTGTTTGGGGGATAACTCTGTAACTGCTAGAGACAAAATTATCAAAATTGGTGTAGTTATTGACAAAAGTAAGGAGAACAATTAAGTGCAACAGATTCTTGATAAGTTCTTTTTAACCTGTGTCAGGCAGTCTTGTTTAAAATGGTCCATTGAAAATTGGTGTAATTTAATTTTATTTGTAATAAAATCTATGGTATCGGATCTTTTCAATGGGCAAAATGATTCATAATTTTGGAATCATGAAGATTATATTGCTATATAATATTTGAATTGCTTTTACTGTGTAGAATAGAACTATACAATGTCCTGCTTTAAAATATTGTTGCTACCACTACTGGACCATAAAAATGTTCTAATTTTGCACAAAAAGATATGCACAAACAACATGACCACTTCAGATGTGTTTAAAAGCTGCATGATATGTGAGGCACTTTTTCCGCCCATTTCACAGTTGTATGTGTATATGAATTTTTGAATACAATTGCTACTGTGAACGTCTAAATTGGTGCTATCATACATAAATATTATAATCTTGATTTTTGTGTCACATTGCATAACTCTACTAACATGACACATTTTACTGTTTACCAATTCCTTGTCATGCAGACTTGAAACAAGACCAATTGCTGACTCAAAACTCTAGTGAGATTTATTGAGGCAGTTTTCATGCTTCTGTCTTTCTGTTCTTCACTAAATCTGCTCTCAACTAATACAAGTTATCAGTTAAAAGTTCTTGGCAGAGGTCAAAAAATCAACTTGGGCAGAATCTATATATATGTGTCATGTGATCTGTTGCAGTGTGGTTGACTGAGGAGAGATCTGATTTGCCCTTGTATTGCTTTGCATTGTCATTCTCTTCATTTCATTTTATTTGTCCAAGTAACAATATAACAATTAAAGAAAATCCAGGGAATATATAATGAATTCTAACAATGCTAAAAAAGATTAACATGATTAGCAATTTCAAATAATCTTCAAAATTTCCACAACCATTAAAAAACCTCTACTTGGTGACACTAATTATAGTTATTCAGTATCCCGATAAAATAGATATTTCATCTATTGTGTCAAAAAGAGGTTTAATGTTCTAAGAAACCTGCACTCATGTGTTTGTACAATGCTGGCATTCATCAAATCACAATGAAGCAGAGGCGTGTGCAGTATATAAAGGCAGTTGGAGAGGCAGTAAGAGTAGCACAAGCATCAAGTAAATTGCATGCATGCCCAGCAGCTGATGCTGACTGCATAAAAACCACAGACTGCATTGGATCAAGTACGTAGTTCTCCTCATTCATTCACAAGATGAAACTCTCTTGGATTACAGACAGCTACAGATAATTGATTCTTTTGATGGCTCGTAGAAAAATTTCCATCAAACTAAGTATTAGGAATCAAAAAAAGGAAGCTGCAGTAAATGGAGCAATCTAAAAAGATGATCTGTTCCTTGATATTAAAAACCTCGCAACTTACTTTGCCTTAAATGGAATATAAAATCAAAGGAAACAGGATCGCTCATAATACTTCAGAG